CCCCTTAAAAATAAAATTGAAGGGGGGGGGGGGGGGGGGGGGGGGGAAGGGTTGACATCGCATCCGCGTCCCCCCCTTCAAATAACCTGTAGGCCTACTTTGTATGGCATTATGTTCCGATGAATGCTGATTTTACACTTTATAACTAAGCTGCTCGCATGTGCATAATTCACGTAGGTGACTTATTAGGCCTACTCTAAATTCGACCGGACTGTGACCGTACCATGCGGGACTCTACATATACTGGACCACGGGGACCACACCCACGCTAGTAACACATTTGACTGAATGCGAAATATCAACGTGATCATAATCGTTTACTTAATTCAAACGTGTCCGCAACACTAAAATTCGTATTTTGTCCTAGACGCCATTACAATTCAAGGATGCAGGCTGAGAAAAAAAATGCTTGGATGTGGAGTGGGGGGTGGGGCAACTGTTAAATTTTATGGGAAATCTTTATCTCTTTTAGGCCTACTTCATAAAATTCCTTAAAATATATATTTAATCTCCGGGAAGGTTGGGGGGAAAATTCCGCTTACAGACCTGAAAGCATTTAGATCATAAACCATATCTGACAACACTATATTAGGCTCAATGTTTTTTAACCGACTGCTGGGTTTCCACCTTATCTTGTTACGTGTCTAATACGGAAGCCTAAGAACAGAAACGATTAGAACTGTTTGTGCGAAATTTTAAAAATTGTTCGAAATGTTCAAAGATGTTAAAGTATTAGATCTACGTCCTGATGAATGTCACCGATCTATGTCATCCGGATCACCCACTAAAAACTCTGTGTGGTAAGCCAATGTGTATGTGCGAAGAGACGTGGTTACCTTTCTCGTTTTCACCTTTGAGACAGTGAATGAGACAGAACGAAACTGAGGCTACTTATAAGTTTTGCAACAATGACTATACAAACGTGTGTTCTAGATACATATAAAACAATGTCTGAATTGTGATTTGAACTGTTAAATCAAAACATTAGAGTAGTTTAGAGTAAAAATATATTTTCAACAGGGGCGTATAAGGTGTGAGCGAAGGAACGGGGTCAACCGTAGTGTGTTGTGAGGGGGCGTGTTCTTAATAATCCTTGTTATCTAGGCAGCCACAAGTGAGCGAAGCAGCATGGCCACAATAACAGAGCTGACTGTGAAGGATGTTCGCTTTCCAACTTCATTGGAGGCGCATGGTTCGGATGCCATGGTAAACTCTCTCTCTCTCTCTCGCTCTCTGGCTCTCTCTCTCTCTCACACACACACACAATCACACACGACACACACACACACACAGACAAGCCAATTGCAAGGAAGGAGTATCGTAAAACCTCAGCTAGACAAATAAGTTTTTTTAAACAACCAAAAAACAATGCAATACATGAAATCTAGATACCGGTACTACTTTGAACATTTACATGACCATGGGCTTGTCAAACCACTGAGCAGTGTACCGGTATCTCGGCTTTGCAGGAGTGGAATGATTTTTGCAATGAATGCCAGAGTATGAATGGAGTTTGATGGCTCCAAGATGTGTAGAAGATTTGGCTGTAAATTAAGCTATTGAGTCAAAATTTTTATGTGCCAGATGCAGTACAATAAGTGAAGTTGTTTAAAGAAAGATTTCACCAAATTATGTATTTAAGATCTAAATTTTGTTGTTAGTTTTATTTTGTTTTTTATCCACTGTTAATTAATTAATTCATTAATTCATTAATTAATTGATTAATTATATTTACTTGATATATAGGAATTTTACCATATTATAGCATGCAGACCCAGACTACTCATGCGCCTATGTTATATTCAAAACAGACTCCAAACTTGAAGGGCATGGATTGACTTTTTCTCTTGGAAGAGGCAATGACTTGGGTATGTCACACTCATACCAGTACAGTGCATTATTCCTGCTGTGTCAGCCCTATATGAGTAGCTTGCTGTCAGTGCCTGGTTATATTCTTAATAAGACTTGGTTCCCATACCGAGGAACTCCAAGGGGTTTCTCGCTAAATTGCTTTCAGCTTAAACGGCTTAGATGTCTGACACGCCTAATGAAGCTGCTAAACGCCAGTTATAATTACCCCCTAACAGCTTCAGTAGGCATGGCAAACATCTAAGCAGCTTAAGTTGATTGCAATTTAGCAAGAATACCCTTGGAGATAGATCGATCCACAGTTAGTATGAAAGGGTCTGGGAATGGTCCCTAAACTACAGCAGTCAGCAGGTTACTCAGGGTCAGTGTCAGGAGAGGACACAGCACATTGTTGTATATCTGACTGGGTTTTGAATTACTGTGTTTTAGCATGGTGATCCAGACTACTCATGTGCCTATGTTGTTATCTGTACAGACACTCAGTTAAGGGGGCATGGGTTAACCTTTACTGCAGGCAGGGGAACTGACCTTGGTATGTCAGCTGCTTATGAATGCTGTATGTTAGAAGGTCAAGAAAATACTTTTTTGAGTCATTTTGTCAAAAAACATTGAGACATTTTTTTAATGAAAATGACAATTTTTCTTTTTTTTGAATTTTCAAAACATTACAAAATGTATTAATTATTGCTTCCTAATTGAAATTAAAGTTGACTATTGGATGTTTTGCAGTGTGTAATTCCATAAAATACATGGGCAGAATGGTAGTTGGGAAGAAGGTGTCAGACATATTTGACAATTTTGGTATCTTTTGGGAGAAGCTGGTGAATGACACACAATTCCGATGGGTAAGTTTCGATGTAATACCATGGTCTAAATTTTTCATATTAGATACTAATACGTACATAGGCCATATTATAACCAGGTTAGTACAGAATGCATAATTCAGACCAAAAACAATATAAAGATATACTGGTAGCATTAATCTAAACTTGACTTAGATTAGGCTGGTTATATCTGGTGTCTGTTTGCTGCGATTGAGTTTAGCAGCTCTCTCATTGTTGAGAAAATAACTAAATCATTTTAATGATGAAAATTTCTTGGGTCATTAACAACATACCAATAGATACTGAATGATTCCAATTATTGATATAAACACTCAAGTGTCAGTGTCTGTTTGCTTTTAGCTTGGCCCAGAGAAGGGTGTGGTTCATCTGGCGACAGCAGGGATTGTTAATGCATTGTGGGATATGTGGGCCAAGATGGAGGGAAAGGTATATATATGAAACCTGTTTAAGAACATTACACTAGGCAATCAAAGTTCGAAAATCATTGCAAGTTTTTCAAAATAGAAAAAAAATCTTATTATCATTGTCTTCGGGGTACATTTTAGGTTTCAATAATGACCACATAGGTATATTTCAAATTCATTAGTCCATTGCATTTTCACTTATTTAAAATTTGAAATTTATTTTCTTACAGCCATTGTGGAAACTTTTAGTTGATATGGTAAGTTGTTTTATGAGCAATGGTAATATTAAATACTTGTTAGATATTAGTAGATACTGATAAATGGTTTCATTTCTTATAAACACATAAGGTTAATGTTTCTTGATGGCATATTCTTAGCATAATTAGAAATATACTTGTCTGTGTAAAATATATTTTACTCCTGAATATTTGTAAAAAAACTGCTTAGTAATGATATATATATTAATAACATACTTGTACCTTGACATCAATCGTTACATTTTATTCTGCCACATAAATAGTTGATGGACATGTATTGGTTTCAGGAACCAGAAAAGTTAGTGTCCACAATGGACTTCAGATATCTGTAAGTATCCACTTATTTGTGACCATTCAGATTGAGAAAAGCCGAATGCTAGTAAGGCTGCGACTTAAATATGGCGGACCTACATGAAAGGAAGACCGCCAATCCTGTAATGGTCTCCCCGCCTCTCACACGCCTCCCCAAACGTTGTCCATCGACCGTTTGAATTGAGCCAAGATTTAATTACTGTGTCCCTGCAGGGACGACGCGTGGGGAGGCTTGTGAGAGCCGGAGAGACCATTACAGGATTAGCGGTCTTCCTTTCATGTAGGTCCGTCATATTTAGGTTGCGGCCTTACTAGCACTCGGCTCTTCTCGATGTGAATGCTCCCTTTCATTGGAGTGTTAACAGGTGTCCATGTTGATGAGTGATGGATATTCAACTTCCTTTGTGAAAAGATCAAGATACAGTGCCTACGAATGATGACTTGAAGAATGTTACATTGAATTTATGTTGAATGGTTTTAATTTTTTTGGGATGAAAGCTTTCACCATGTTGTGCTTTCAAAAGTTTGTGTAGAAATTGAAAAGTTAAAAATATTCAACATGAATGACAATACTACAGGACATAGGGTAACTTCTATCAGAATGATATCTTGATGTGTTTATATGATAATATTGTAATACAAATTATATTTTTTTGTTATTTATGATTAGGTCAGATGCTCTCACACCAGAGGAAGCATTAGGTGAGTGATGTCCACTGAGACCTTGTGTAGATGTGTTAGAGAAGATGACAGCAATCAGAGATATTCACATTTAAAATGCCCCATGGATAACATTTGTAATGTGTTTGTTAAGGGCATCACATTGCATGAGGTAAGGCAAACGTGAAGGCTTCATATTTTAAAATTATGAAAATAAGTAAAATATTCTAAAATATTTTTGTTATTTTATTGATTTTAATAGAGAAATGTTTTTTTCTTTGGTTTAGCAATACTGAAGAAAAATCAGTCTACCAAAGCGGAAAGAGGTAAGGTATCTTGTCTTTTACTAAAATTGAATCCCAAAAAAAGCAAAAAAGTGTTATTTTAAAGATTAACTCCATATGAGGATTATCAGCTTCTCATATTTGTGACTACTGTATTATATGTATTAAATTAATTTTAAAAAAATGGTGGCTTGTTAATTGTTTTGGATAAAATGGTATTATATATTACAGAGAAGGAGTTGTTATCAAAGGGATACCCTGCATATACCACCTCTGCTGGCTGGTTGGGTTACAGTGAAGAGAGGATAAAAAAGGTAAAAAAAAAAAAAAACACTCAGGTTATGGCACTTGTGAGACATATAGTTATTACAGCATAGCACTCTCTTTTCTTAAAATTATGGTTTAGAAAAACTGTTTATGTTTTTACAAGTTTGATTATGACAAAAAGTCCAACCAAAATGTTGAATGTTCACGTGGGATGTTTCAGTTGTGTCAAGAAGCCATGGCAGAAGGATTTACAAAGTAGGTGAACTTTTGAGTAAATAATGCTTAAACTTAAAATTTGTCTTTGAACAAGATATTTTGAAACTAGTTTGATGATATCCATTTTTTAAACTTTTCAAATTTTAAGACAAAACTTTGATAATTTTTGTCACACATACATTTGATATTTCTGCTTTTTTTATTTATTACATAGCATTCAGTTTCCTTTATTCAAATTTAAACTTCCTTTCTTAATTCAATATGAGAAATGCAAAATAAAAATTCTATCATTATATGGACACTCCTAAAGAAAGGTGGAGTGACATAAATTTTTATTATTTTTCTTTAAATCTGTATTATTTTATGAAGATTTTAACACTGAAATTTTACAGATTCAAGGTGAAAGTTGGTGCTGACCTAAAGGATGACATAAGAAGATGTAGAGTGATCAGGGAACAGATAGGATATGACAAGGTCTTGGTAAGTATTTATATTGTGGGATAGCAGTGCATGAACATGTGATGTGACTGTATTCTAGATGTATTTTTTGCCCAGTGAAAAAACAGGTAAGACAGTGCAAATTGTCTGTACCTAAGTAATATTAGTTTTAAGGCCAGTACTGAATATAAAAAATTATGGCTGCACAATTGTATCATTTCTTTTATTACACAAGACACGAAAAAAAAAATTAAATCCCCACAGACAATGAATATATTGATATACTTTGTAACAGATGTGACCAGTTTGCATACTCCACATTTCTAGATGACAGATGCTAACCAGCGCTGGGATGTGCAACAGTCTATAGATTGGATGAAACAATTGGCTGAGTTCAAGCCTTTGTGGATTGAGGAACCCACTAGTCCTGATGACATTATGGGACATGCTGCTATTGCTAAAGTGATTTTTAAAAAACTAATTATTCTTAAAGATACAGTTACATCAAACAGTCCAAGGTAGGAAATTTGGGAATGCCGGAAAAAAGTACCATTCAATGACTGATGGATAATACAAGGATTGATAAAAAATAGACAAAAATAACAAACTTTGATCATGATGATGATTTAAAAGTGATATTCCAAAAATCTGCTCTTATTTTTTCCAGGCATTGAAGCCTTATGGTATTGGAGTGGCAACAGGAGAAATGTGTCAGAACCGTGTCATGTTCAAACAGTTTATCGTGGAAGGTGCCATGCAGTTTTGCCAGATTGACAGCTGTCGTCTGGGAGGAGTCAATGAGATCTTGGTGGTTTTGTTGATGGCTTACAAGTATAGAGGTAGGTGAATTTTGGTTCAGTTTTTCAGGCATATTTTGATAAAACATACTTGTACTTAAAATTAATGAGGCATACCACAATGTTGAACAGTATGATGTCATCTTCTGTCTCAATCCTCATAATGTTAAACAGACAAAAGGGTGAGAAATCTCAAATTTAGACGGATTCCAGTAAAAATGACCCTATAAGGTTTTGCATTGCAGTACCAGTATGCCCGCATGGTGGAGGAGTAGGCTTGTGTGAATATATCAACCATCTATGCATCTTTGACTACATCTGTGTGTCAGCTTCCATGGAAAACAGGCAACTTAGACTTTTCTTTTCTTTCTCCACTTCCACAAAGATAGTACTTGGATGAGATATGTACATTTTATTGTTAACTATCAAAATAAATGTATCTAGATATGTATTTTTCATACTAACTAAAATTTTGGTAGTGTTTTATTCATTATATTATTTTACAATATCTGATAATATTGCATTCTGTTTTAGAGTGACAGAATATGTGGACCATCTTCATGAGCACTTTAAATCTCCATGTGTAGTTAAAGATGGGTGTTACACAGTCCCTAAGGTATGCTTTGAATTATATATATATATATATATATATATATATATATATATATATATAATAAAAAGGAAAAAAGAACAGCAACTTTTTTTGCCCCCCAAAAAAAGTTGCTGTTCTTTTTTCCTTTTTATTATATATAATATTACTCGTACAGGTAAAACGTTTTTTACTTTTTAATATATATATATTATATACCTACCTGTGTGTACCTGCATGTGTTTGTGGCATCCATACATACTTTACATAGACTTCTTCAAAACATTCCTACAATATTGATATCGCAAAGTCTGACATTGAAAAAAAAATCTTATCATGGTTTTTAGGATCCAGGTTACAGTGCAGAGATGAAAGAGGAATCCTTGTTGGAGTATGAATATCCCAGTGGAAGTGTGTGGAAGAAATTGTTTGCAGAGGGGAAGTTCACACCAGAATGAAGAGAAAATTTGAACTCTGGTACTTGGTCAAATATATGTGCAATAAGGTCACATCAAGTGAGCCTAGGAGTAGCATGTGACAATCAGTGAACAATCCATGTGTCAGATTAAAACAAAATACTGTCAAGAAAGAAAAACTTGCCCATGTTTAAAACATATCTTATGATTTAATGTTCAAATTAAATCTGTTTATAATCATTCCATAATTGATTTTTAAGATCATTTGGAATTTTTACAAATTATTGTATCCTCATGTTAAGTAACATTCAATGGTCATTTAACATTGCACCAGTAAGTTTTTATCGATGATATCTTGGGTAAAAATGCATTTAATTTACATAGGACAACAATTACACCAATTTCTCTGAATAGCTATCAAAGTATTCTGATTCCAAAAATATTTCAACTCTTTAAAATATTACTTCACTAACAATTTTAGATTACACAAAATTATGATATTTTTGTATGAATTAAAAATTAACAATTGTATCATTGTGTTATTTTTATTTTTTTTTGTATCACTCACATTTATTTATATGCCCCCCTCCCCCCAAAACAAACAAAAAATCTAGAAGAATTCCAGTACTTTTCCCTAAAGGAAGGGTCTGCGACGTAATGTTACACCATATCTGCATAATCCAAATTATGTATAAGTACTACTAACGGAATCCTATTTCATACAAGATGTTCATATATTACAGTTGGTGAGCAACCCAATATCAGGCCCTATAGTTCTTGCACACCTGTCTTATTACATATAAATAGGCTTCTTGTCTGACTTGGAAGCTCCACGTGCTTTTCTCTTTCTCCCAAGTCTTAAATAGGCAGCTAATGCCCTGTGCACCATCCCACACCACGTTCTACCTGTGATCTCGGCAGGGCATGGCCCCCTGCGGAGCAGGTGCTTTTGTGGTGGGCTGAGGGTAAACATACCACAAATGAAACTCAAATACAACTTCGTGTGTTTAGTTGGTCTTGGACGAAAGAAATCACCCAAGAGTTTGTGCACAAAAAAATGAAAAACTTGTGAGATAACCATTTTACCAGACTAATGAAATCCATGCCAAACGAGGTTACTCTCATTTGTGTATGCATTGACTGATTTAAAAAAATCTTTACCTTATTTTCTCCAAAATTTTACACAAACATTTAAATGCCTCAGATGTTTAACTGCAAAATAGCCTGGAAATTACTCTCAAATGTGCAATCTTGAATATAAACTACACATACATGACCATCACTTGATCAACAGGCAATCATCTGCAGGCTTCAAACCTTTGAAATATTTTTCATATTAATTCCATGTTTTGCAACTCAAATATGTTGACAAGTACTTATTGACCACATTTTCATTAGGCAATTACATGACTTAAGCAGCATGAAAAAATATTGTTTTTTTTTCTGTATCTTTTCCAATATTTTTTATGCATCTTCTTAGTTCTGGGTTATCCAGGTGCTGTATCAGAAGCAGATTTGAATAAGAATGGTTTCTTCTGATCCTTCATTCATCTAGGTAATATCAACCAGTTCTACTGTGCCTTTCCTCTAAATTCATCCAATATATATTCTGGTACAAAAGCATCTAGGGTCTGAAAAAGGTAAAAAAATTAAATTTGTTTGACATTATATCAAAAATAGAGTACAAACATAACATATATCAGTTGGATAATTAAATTAATTATAAAAAAAATAAACATACAAATATATACATGGGTATATTCATGAAAAATGGAAGAGTCTCATTTTGTCCTTATACTAACAGTTTGACTTGTACAAGAATAAACAGAAATGATATGAAAAGTCTATAAAATACATGATACAAATAAATATTTAAAATTAAGTATTTGGCTACATGACCCAGATATTAAGTACCTTTCTTTGTATCCCACTGTAATGAACAAAATCTTCCAGGAAGGCAAGGGTGTTAAGAGCTTCAAGTGGTATTTCTGGAACTTTGGCACTGGAATAATAATAATAATAATAATAATAATAATAATAATATTGGTGATTTTAAAATATTATTTCTTAACTAAATATAAATATCAATAACAATTATCACTGCCATGTTATTATCATGATGATCGTATTTCAAATATAAGCATAGTTACATGTACAGTAATTATGCCATACATCATATCTGGCATTTGCCATCACTCATGGCAGACTCATAGAATCGGACGGTATATTTGAAGGAGAGAAAAAAAGAGAGTATATTAAATTGTTTGCTTTTGCTGAGATAGTATCAAGTAAACTTTTGTTAGATATATTGTAAAAGAAATTAACAAAGAAAAAATCACCCAAAAGGATGCCCAAGTACACAGCTACAATGTTTAAGTGGAAATACAAAGGCAAAAACAAAGAGAAGGGAATGCTGACGATGATTTTAGTTATCTGACACAAATTCCCCATACTTCACTTAATGACTCTACAAATGTGTTAAACCAATTACTTTACATCATAAGCTTGCATTTAGAATGTGGAATTCCTGTGCCATTTTCTAACCTACATGTAGATACCCTGAAGTCTGTACTTCACTTGAGAAAAAGCAAGCTAAACAATATATTCCCTTAGAAAAAAAACCCTGCCATCATTATAACTATTTGAACGTTGATGGACAACGCAATATCTACTTATATTGTATTTTGTGCACATGATTACAATGCTGACAACTTGTTCACAGTAGTTCTACTGTTTTAAACCAGGGTGACTCAGATATTGTCAAGAACTTTTCACAGGAAATGACTGAATGTTAAATTGGCAATAATTGGATAATTTATGGGCAATCATTTTAGGTTTATTGGTTTTACTTAACATCACATTAGATGTTGAAGGCTTAAAATAAGCAAGAAATTACCTGTCTCCCAGTAATTTTATATGAAATTTTCATTGAAACTGGTTGAAAAGTGAAGGAGGAAATGGCCTGACAATATTAGACCTCATGAATAGATAGACAAACTGGTCACATGAACATCCTCATTCCGAAACCCCATGCCTGCAGTTTAACAGGGAGCACTTTAAAAGTTCTCTTTCCCTTATTATTTGGCAGCATTCCTACTCCTGCTTTTCTCATTTATAGGACCCCAGTTGAAGTGCTGGTATTCATACAAAGCTTTGTACTTAACATAAATGTTAACCAATGCTGACAGCAAATTAAAAAATAATTTGACCACATTTCTAGGCCAAATGAGGTAAAATGTGGCCTGAACATGATGTTAAACAAGAATGTTTAACTTTTAATGTCACATAAGGTGAAATGGCTAAGCCTAATTTAAGACCCATATAAAATCAATAAATTCAAATAATCCTAATCAATAAGCTAAATCAGTAGGAATACCCTGTAAGTCTGAATGGAAAAAAAATAGTAATAATAAAACAACAAACTAAAATGTAAGGGTAAATGCAAGAACTTATCTTAATGCAGCAAATATCCATTTTAAATAAGGTCTACTTTGGAACTTTTTTCCCCAAATTTTATCTTTCCCAGTTTATCTACAATTCCCCATTCATTTAGTTTGTCACGACTCGGTGTTCTTGAAGCAGTAAACTGATATTGCCCATTCACGTCTCACATTTGATCCTTTTCTACCAGAATTTTTCTATCCACAATCATTAATCATCAGACACCAATGTTTATGCACCAACTTGTATTTCCCACAAAAAAGAGAAACATCCTTCAACCTCTTAATGAGCTTAAATTGGATTCGGAATAACAAATTCTAAGCCACAATAACTTTTCAGAAAATTGAATATGTGACTTGTAAAATGTTTAGAAGATTAAACAGTGCAGTAACAACAAAGGCACTAAGGTCTCTGCGAGGTCAAACATAAGACATTAAATATTGACTCAATAACTGTCTGGAAGAGTAATTGTAAGGCAATAAACTTAAAAGACTCCAGTGATTTGATTTAAATTGTTATTTCAAATTCAATGACAAAAAAAAGTAACGACAAAAAAGTCACTATGTTCATGATGGAATTCAAAACTTGTATTCCTTAGGCCCTGGGCAAAGGAAAAGACAGACAAAAGTTCTGGCAGTAACCAAATCTTTAATGTCTCCGGTGAAAAATATGTCATCTTAAAAATAAACTAGGAACTGCACTTTGCATTCCAATGTCCCCAGTGGTCAACAAACAAGGTCCACTTCAAGTCTTTTTCACTGGCAATATATCAGTCCTCTTTTCCTCTCACATCGACCCACCACAAAGTTATGAGCAAGAGTCATTAATTGCCAAAAATTTAAATCAGCAGAAAGAAGTCTGCATGGCGACCTGTTGCTTGAGGGAGTCTGTGATATTTCCCCTGAATCGGTGAGGTTAGATAGGGGTGAGGGGAACAATGTCCTACTTCAGTCATCAGCCTCTCATAATTGTTTGGGAAATTATCCCTCTAACCTGCCTGCCCTCCTGATCAAGGTGATGCTGATGATAGCCAATGGGGTTGGGGTCTGGATAATGATGTTGTACTAACGGTTAGTAAAACAGAGGCCACGGAGAGGGACCTTTACTTGTGAATAGGTCTGCCAACCTACTACTGGATCTCACAGAGCTGTAACTGAGGAAGTCTATTTATACCCGGTGATATTCCATTTGGCTAATTTGTGATTCGTCTGCTTTCAAACAAAACTTTAACCAAATTAGAAACCTCAGATGAGGTGGACCTAGCCCGAGAGCTGCTGCCGGGGCTGTTCTCCAGCTGATGCCTTCATGACATCGCGGAAACAACCTGAAGATCGAAAATGAAGGGCTGTCACTTGTTGCTAACTGTTTGCTGCAGTTCAGTGCTTCTGGCACAAGTTGTGAAAGAAGATAAGGTAAGCCAGCAATGCTTACATTGATTTACGGCATCAGAACATTGAAGGTTTCAAAACCTTAAATGGCTTGCTATAATGTAACCAAAGGGGCATTCTGTCTTTCTTTATTTCTTTTACAACCCTCACAATGATATAGAAGGATCCTACTCAAAAGTGCTATTAATACCATGAAATTGTAAAAATTATTTTGTGTTTCACTGAAAAATATTATTTGCTTGATTACATGCAGACTGTAGTAGAAGTTCTGAAAGTTGCATGATTGGGTTTGAATTTTTATTCAACAAAGAAAAAAGACAATACCACTCAAATTTTGAGACTTCCCCCACAAAGGTCATACCATGCATTAGGATAACCTAATATAGCATATTACATCACTGGATAATAATACAGGAATTACTTTATTTACCATTTTAATTCACTGAGGTGCTACCCTGGGTGTTTTCAGTGTGCCTACTTGTATGGAACACATAGTGGCTGATACACTAGTTCTATCAATTACAACAGGAAATAGAAAAAAATACTGGCTTTCTGCACAGCTGTTAATAAATCTTAGGTGTGACACCAACTCAATGATTCTGAACTTTGAGCTTCTAATGAAATAGTACTTACTTTAAATTGTAGTTTTCTATAGTTTTTTTCTTATTGGTGCAGTTTTTAGGTTGCTTGTGTATTTTTGATCTAATGTCTGACAAAGTCTGTTGCTGCATTTTTTAAGGTTAAAAAGTTATAATTTAGAATCAGTTTGCTTTTTTTGCCTGCTGATAATTGCCTTACATTTTGAAAATTTGCAGAAGTAACCTACTATCCAAAACTTTCTTCAGTAGCTGAGAACCTAAATAAAAATTAAGTTTTTAAGATAAAAATTGTTTTCTATCATTTCAAATGTGCCAGCTAGAAAACTTTGTGCAGACAGGGATACAAAGTGGTATTTTCATTTGTAGCAGACAGAAAGATGCATAATGACAGGGCGTGATGGACGAGATGGTAGAGACGGGCTATCAGGACAGGCTGGGAGGGATGGAAAAGACGGGGCTACTGGGGCAAAAGGAGAAAAAGGAAACATTGGAGAAACAGGACTTTCTGGAAAACCAGGTAAAAAATCAATATATACTTGATGGAGTTTCATAAAGTAAACAACCTAAAAAGAAGTTGCCATTTGAAAATATTGAATATACAATCAGAGTTCAATATTACTTCAAATACTGTCTTAAGTATCTTTCCTCATACCTGTTACTAAGACTAGATGCCTATTTTACTCTTTTTTAAAATACTTAAAAAGAATATCTTTCTTTCTATGTTTAAGGCCAGAAGGGAGAAAAAGGTTCTTGCCCTCTCAGGAATATACGTCAGTATGTCTTTAAAGATCTCAATGAGGACAGAGATACTGGGATTCTTAAGGTAAGTCAGTCTACATCCACCCAACAGGTCACATGCTGGGATTTTCACTCATCTTCTTGCGTAAGGGCCTCTTCCTTCATCAGAAAACAAATGTTCTACTAATCACCTGGAGTTTTAGGCAACTAGAGCAGATATAATAACAGTTCCTGCGCCACAGTGTCTTGTGCTTGAGCCAATACAGCGCTTCAAGATTGAAATACATTGATAAGAATAAGTCCTCAAAGAGGAAAGGGTCAGAATAAAATGACTAAAACTGACAAGCACTTAATCATTATATGACAAGGGAAATCCTCTTTATAAGACAGTTCTGTACGTGAAAGTTTCTCAAAAATAAATAGATAAATAAATAATCTATATGCTTTCAAGATACACAAACATATGTACCTTTAGCCTAACGGGGTCATGCATAGTTGTTATCTCCACACTAGTTTTTAAAATGGGAATTTCTTTGATTGATTAAATAACCTAAAGTGACAGAGCAACTGTGACAGGAGGTACATTGTCCCATAATTTGCAATATGAAAGTAGATCAATAATACATTGTGACAGAACACCTGTGGGGGTAGGCTCCAACCCCCCTTTTATCATCTTTATCAAAGTCTCTTCAACTAACCACACAGGGCCAGTCAATTCCAACCTAACCAGATGTTATATGGAGGTGCAGACAAGAAAGATGGCAAGCCACCTTCAATCTGACTCACTCCATGCACACACCTTTGACATGGAGAGGGTTATAATCTTAAGGTTAAAGTGGTTGGTGATTGATGATGGAAATAGAACAAAATGTATAGAAATAGAACAGGAGCACTTTTAAAATAGTTTTCAGATGAGTTATATAATAAAATATGAAAAAAGAGGCAGTGGCAGTTTATCCGTTCTTGATATCTAATCATTTAAACAAATGTTATATTGTTAGACCCAAGGCTATAAAATTACTTTACCTTTGAAATAGTATTCAGGAAAGACAAGACAGTACTTTAAAAAGCCCTAACCCACAGTGAAACTGCCAGTTGAACTGTAATACCCATTGTTTCACAAAAATTAAATTAAATAAACATAAATACAATCCATTCTAAAAAATTTAGCAACATGACATTTGGGTTTAAATATACAAAACCAAGTAGTGAAAAAACCCAAGTAGTCACAACTACTAAGTTATTTTTCTCACATATGTTCCCAGAAGTCTTGGGTTTATAAACCAAACTTTCCATCTGCTGTTCTACAAGGGGTTCTAAAAACAATTTAAATGGGCACACACCAGTCTAGTTATAGGACTATTTGTCCATTGTATCTTATCCCAATATTCATCCTTTGGCATGTAAGTTGTGTTGAGTAATATACCTTAGCTAAGTGGATACACTTGCAGTTGTAAGAAACTGGAGTTTTTCCACGCTGTATCTATCCAATTATCTCATTAGCTGTCTGGTGACCACCATTAATACATCAACAGGTTGCAGCACAGCCCTTCCAGAAACAATTTACAAAGAAAACTACCCACCATGTACAATGTCCCTTCACTGGTAATGGGACATGGCTGGGACAAGATTCTATGGGATAAGGTGTGGAGAGAGTAGGAACTGACACGACTAAACCTTCTATTTTGATTATCACACACAAGTTTCAGAATTTCTCTTCTTGGGTACACTATTGTAAAAGTAAAACAGAAGGCAAAGGCTCTCCCTTTTGATTTGCAAAAAAACAGCATGGAAACTTAACTGAATGTCTCACATGTAAGATAAGATATAAAATCAACCCATAAAATATATGTAATAAACGTGTTTTAATGGTATTTTAAAGTGACTTTTAAGCACTAAATATCTGGATCATCCTCACTCTAAGTAATTGATGGCCATATGATGGAACCTTAACAATATTGATCAGTAAAAGATGCACTAAACAATGCAGATATGAAGAGCATATCAGCAAGCACTCAAAATTCTGCTAAGTTTTATTAATAAATACATTGAATAAAACAATTATACAAATATCAAAATACACAAAATGTACAGTCACTTTTTATGGAATGATCCCTATATGAAGAAGCCCACTAATACAGATAGGCTGCACCCCCCCCCCCCCAAATCAAATGCAATGTTTTTGTTAGGTTTTGAGTCCTAATGTTGTTTATAACAGGTGCTCTTTCTATCAGGAAATCCTGATTGAACCCAAGTCATGTGTGAATGAATGCTGAACTGATACAAAACCTGCACACCCTGAAATCAAATATCAATTATAGTTGCCAAAAACATTTTATCACTACATCATGCATCTTTTGCCTTTTTCTGAGAGAAAAAAGTGGCTTGAATTTGCACAGTTTACACTGAAACCCATCCACAAGTCAACCTGCAGCTGGGTTTTATACCAACTGACAAGCTATTTTCACAGCCAGTGGGTATCCATAGCCTAATTACCACTGATGAGAATCCCTTTCCTGACCTAATGCAAAAAAGATCTGCTAAAAATATTGCAATTGACACCTAACTTGCTCACACAACTCAAATGAAAATATTACCAAGAATGTTATAAAACTTACCCATTTCTCATGATGGACACAATAATACTTGAATTATTTTGACCAGATGTTTTTGTTTCTTAATTTTTTTGGTTTCATTTTCCCCCCTGTTTTAAATCAAATGGTTTCTTTAATCTAAATTTAGCTTATTCAGCTAGCTTATAAGGTGAATAACAAAACATACAATAAAGTGCCCTGGTACACTTCAACTAAAATTGTTTGAGATATTTTCACAATTTCTCATGGGAAATACTTTCAAATGGTGTAACCTCTGGAAATCTAGAATAGCAATCTTATTACTGAAGCTAAAAAACAAGATGACTTGTTTCAAAAATCATTAGGACACTTAATCCCTTAAAGACTTAACTGATAAAGCAGAATGCAGCTTTTTTTCATCAGTGTTTTTATTAGGCTATAGCAGAAAGAAACCCTGTGTGTGAACAATAAAACATTGCTGCTTATCAAACTACAAAATCAATTGTTATTATTTCAGGAGGTGACTTTCAGGAAGCTTTATAATGAGTCTGCTCTATGGATATTGTGGTCAGGAAGCCTGGCTCTGGTCCCTGCCTACAGGACTGCCTGCAGGCGCTGGTTCTTCACCTTTAATGGGAAAGAATGCCAGGACCCTGCCACTGTGGACGCACAGATTTATGAAAACATCCACGGTGACAACAGCCATAGGCCTTCTCCAGGTAAATACACAGGCAGCAATAACATAAAATTGATGCTGATACTCTACACCATAAAGAAAATGAGGACTTTTAAATATTAAAGGTGGTAATCAGTTGGAAAAGTCCAGATTAAGGTTTTATTTTGGATAATTTTTTTGGCCCTATAAGGGTCATGTAGACAGCTAATAGGGTAATCTTCTTTCAGGCAGTGAAATGGAAAATTAAATTTCAATAAAAAAATAAAATGTTGGAGTAAGCATCTGGTGGGATGGGACAATTTTTCTGCATGTGTAAACAAAATCAGTAGCCATATGATGTGTCAGCATAGCATTCAAGTTAATGCCCAAAACATTCAGAAAAGTGAGACTATAATTTCAAGTGAGGTTGAAGTATGTGTCAAATGCTCAAACATTTTTCTCTTCACCTTTATAGCCCACCCCAAAGTAAGTGACTAGGGACAGCTTTACTCAAGTGTTATCTATTTCAAGTTAAACCTGGAAGGGCGCAGGAAGACAAGAATGTCTTCATTACCACATAAAGAACCTAAATCAGATATACTTCTTATATGATAGGTAGCCATTAATAAATTATCTAGTGCCAATTTTTGATCAAACTGTTTTAAAATTTAAGATAAAACCATTTTAGAAGAAAGTTTCTTTATTGCCCATTACTTCACAAGTTCTATTACTTCCAGTGGAGGGTATATGCATGGATGTTCCAAAAGGTACACTGCGGATAGGCTTTAACATTGACTACTGTGAACGTCATGACCACACAGGGAAAGCCTATACAGCCTATGACAGTGTATCAAGGATACTGGTAGAAGAAATAATCATTCATAATGATCTCCCAGAAGACTATAAAGTGGACGACTACTTGGATCTACCACCATCTACCACACCACCAACAACTGTTGCACCCAAGGGAACAACAACATCCCAAAAGTCCACTTTGGCAGCCCACAGAGCTCTACCATACAGGCCACCTGGGAAATGACCCATTCAGCTATTAGAGTGGCATTTTCACTTCACTTTAAGTAGGTATCATAACTGAACCAAAACAACTAGGTACTAAATGTTACTTTGTATAAAACAACAGAGGTAAAAAAACTTCTTGGAGGTAAACAAATAAAATTGGTTTCAGAGAGGTCACCAAACTTGTTTAGAGCACATCCAGATCTAATCAGCTAGCTATCTTTTAATTATTTTAGTACAAATACAGTTTGAACAGTAAATTTATTATCAAGAACCTTAAAGGCTGTTTATGATCCCTACCAACTTGTCCCTCTGCTGCCTGTATGTAGAATGGAAATAAAAGGGATAACAACTTTTCATTTTGGCGGGGAAAATTGCCATCAACCAAATTTTCCTGATGATCGATGTTTCCATACTTACCAATGGTTAATTAATCCCATCCAACATTCAAAGTTAGTCAACTGTTTTTTTTTCTTAACAAAAAGTATGTTTTTTTACAATAATCTCTTATGGGATTTTTATGTAGGGTAGCTATCTATGAAGGTCCATGTGGTCTGATGGCAAGCACAGATTTCAGAATAATTGCAATAACTGCCATATTGGTGGTCAAATGGAATTTATAATATTTCTATGTTATGTGTTGTTTACAGTGTATTAATTGTGGAATTTAGAATATATATCATATGAATAGTTGTTAACCCTTTAAGTAAACAGTAGGGATCTTCTATAGGGATCTTAGGTGATGACCACACTATGATGTACTTTGACGTATTTGTCAAAACTATGTGCAGTAAAATGTTGCAATAAATTTCATCTTTGCCATTCTGTAAAGCTTAAAACTCCAATTTTGTGTTATAAACAGGAGTGAAAAAGGATAGTAGTCAGAACTCAAAATACATTTAAGCTTGTGAGTGAGGTTCTTAATTTTAATTGGTTTTGATTTATCATTAGAATAATATTATTCCACTGCACCAATTAAGAACTTTAAATTTCAAATGCGCAATTGCTTGCTGTTTTTCTTCCCATTTAATTGTATAAGTTTTCACATCTTTATCTTCAGAAAGTGCACTATCTGTGATGAATAAATAAATATGATTACAAAAATTGAACGAAATTATATTCTTTACAAAATCTGCCATGAAACACTATGCATGTTGTGATAAAGTAACATTCTGAATGCAGATAAAAATTTATTTGGATACCAGACAACCAGAAACATAAAATTTGCCATATCACTCTCACATTTCGAATGAAATCGTTCCACACTATTAACATCCCTATCATCAGTTTTTTCCCTTCTGTAAATCTTGACCTAGTCCAGAGTGCCTGGTAAGTAGTGCACTCATTAGGCAAAACACACCTGAGAAATTAATAGGCCTCTAACGTATCTCAGGTTAACTGAACTACTGGGACTGTTTACACTTGGGTCTTTGATTTATCACTCCAGGCATCTCACTTACTGGCAACTTCAAAGATCGACATCCATAATTCGCCTCGATTGTCCTACGGGTTGTTGTAACGAGGTGGCTGTAAGGTTTTACTTGTATTCACCCTTTAATGCTCTGACCTTTTCCTCAATCAAGTTTTTGTAATTAAACTCCCTGAGAAAAGGTCAGGCTCATTAACGCGATGGATCCCTCCCTGGTTGTACAATTTTGGTCAAAAGGTCATTTTCAGTCTTTGCCAATTTTCCCAGGCAAACAATTTTCATAAATTTAAAACTTACATAAACTTAATGGTGATAATGAATTTTTGAAATCACTATCTTATAAATGTAAAGACTAGGTCACTGTTTAAGTCAGGACCCACCTTGTAGCAGATTCCACATAGGATCTTGTATATTGTCCCAGCATGGCAAGAACGCTGTCAGTGGTTTCTCTGTGGAACTGCTTCAGGAGGGTGATCATCCCAGCAATAAAGGGGGGACCATCTATGGGATCACCAGGTTTCTTGCACACCATGCTCCCTGAAATCATGTTAAAAAATTGATCATTATCTTGACAAGTCAACAGGCTGAAATATGCAAATTAAAGTAATAAATAATTTTTTAAAAGTTTTGCATTTTCATTATCTTAAACATGCCCCCCTTTGGTAAGGACAACTTACGAAAAAATTAAAATATTTGACATCTATACTTATATTCATATTTTTTTGCTGTAATTTTTCAAGAAATTTATATATGGTATTTCATAATGAAAATTAGTAGATGACTTCTTTTTTATCAAGGCCAAAGTGACACATACCCAAAGCACACGGAAAAAACGATTTTCAGTAAATAAACCCAATAATCAATACTAGTTAGTAAGCAACATGTACTACTCTGCCATAAAGTTCTCTATTTACAGAATCTCAAACCTAAATAACAATGCTTATAATAGAATCAAAACATCAACAACAAAATAGGTAAGGTACCAATTTATTAACAACAACTAAGAAAAGTGTGTCGATAACGTTCCTGGATACATCCTCTGAATCAGGAAAATTGTCCAAAAAGATTTTTTTTTCTTATAACTACACTACTAGTATAGATAAGAAGATTTATCCTTGGTAAATGATCTAAGGCTCCCATATTCTGGTATATCCCAGCAGGTAGTTGGTAAGGATAATGTGGATGATTACAGCTTGGATGTTATCAACTTGAGACTGTAATCTAACACTGAGGAAAGTATTGGTACAGCAATACCAATGTCTTAGGTCTATGTTAATTTCTACAATATATTGCTTTTTGCTAAAGCACAAGCACAGTCAGTTTTCATTACAAAAACCAAAGAAACTGTTTGGTAATTTTTCATATAAACTCAGGTTGAAGGGTGACTTATTCCCTCTGTAATACTGGATTCATTTCAAGATCCCTACTTTCAAATTGCATGCTAAGTGTCAACTTATTCCATCTATAATACTGGACCCTTCTCAAGACCCCTACTTTCATATAAAAGTTACGAGCCACCTTATTTCCTATATCAGGGGCGGATCCAGAGCTTTTTTCTGACAGTCTTCCAAATTATCATTGTTGATCCATCCTCATTTTTGACCGTCTTCTGACAGAAAAAATTAGATACCTGTCAGTGTAAACTTGAAAATCTGACCGTCTTCCGGAAGACCCAGAAGACGGCCTAAATCCGCCCCTGTATATATCAGACTCATTTTGAGGCCCCTACTTTCAAATTGCAGGTTAAATGTCAAGTTATTTCCTCCATATTACTGGACTCTTCTCAAAGTCCCTACCTCTCAGTTAGGGGTCACTTACGAACAGAGGTTTTGATGGGAGACCTGAAACTACTGAACGCAGCAGTTCTCCTGACCAAGGACATAAGATACATAGTATTACTTCTTGACGTCTGTTTTGAAATACCCGAGAGAGATGCAAGGATTTTTATTACTTCCCTTTCTCATCAACACAAGTTACCCAAAAAACTTGGTTTCACAGTTTTGTCTTATCTATCTCTGTCTACCTCCAAAACATGTTTTTCATTACATTTCAACCAAAGCATTGAGGTATCTTTATCACTGTTCCTCAATTGATATTTGGAGTGGGATATTAACTTTATCTAGAAGCAAGATGGCTATTTTGGTTACAGAATTTTTTTATACCTCAAAAATATTAAACTACAAACCCAATGTGCTTAGTACACTGCACATTACAATGCCATGCTTACAATTCCCTCTTTCTCAGCATGCCATACACCATATCACATTGTTTTAAGGATTTGATCCCTCTATTCTGCTTCCTGGCAGATTTAACAACAGCAAAATTTAACTTAAAATGACAGAAACGGTAATGCCCAAGAGAAAGAATGACCACAATTTAAGAATTAAGACTTACACAGTGTGGCTTTATACATCTGAAGCCTTTGTATTTAGGTAAACTAAAGCAAAAAATAAGTAACAGTGACAATTATTTCCCTTTTTTTGAAATTCAAGTGAGAAAATATATCTTGAATATCTTAGGAAATCATTACAAGATACATGTACATGCCTCCCCCACTGGGTAAAATGTGTTATCAGCATTACGTAAGCCACAAGCTACTAGTATGGTTTGAAAACACATACTTGGCTGTAGGCCACAAGGACAACTGTATTCTTAAATTCTGTGATATCTTTTACTATCACTATTACCATTACTATCCCAAAGACAAATGTTCAAACAGCAGTCAGACAGAAAAGCATACCCTATACCTTTGAAAATGTAGTCTTGTTCACATGCTTGTACTAAATCAAACCAACTATACAAACAAAACTGGAAACAACACATACCACGTGTTAGCAGTTTCTTATCAAAATGATCAGAATTTAAACATTTTACAGGTTATTTTAGCCATTAGACTTCCTGTCTGACAAAATACTATGAACCCTATAAAAGAAAGAGAGACCTCAAAACAGTTTTATGAGGCAATTTGAATTGATTTGATACGTCATTGAGTAATATGTACATATAATAAATAATTTCCCATGCCAACTTCTTTTCTCAGGCCCAAATTTTTTTTAAAAACCTATTAACTTAGTTTATCATATACTCACCAACAGATTTGACATATGTAAGCTTTGGCAACTGTGATATCACAAACAGAAAATTGATGGCTTCAAAGTAAGGAAGTCTCTTTGTGGTAACATAAATCTAAGAAGAAAAACAATAAAACTGGAAACTCATCTTTTTATACATACATTACATTTATCAAAACTGTTGAAATCTGGATGTGTAAAAAACTTAATTTTTAACAAACATATGAAATTTACCAATACATAATTTATCAACACACACACACACACACACACACACACACACACACACACACACACACACACACACACACACACTATATGGATTACAAAACTAAGAATAAAGTTTTTTAAAAATCCAGAAATAAGATAAGGTTTAAGTTATACCCATCAAAACAAAATTCTCTAAACTTACTTGTCAATGTCTTAAATAAAAACCCATGTCTTTACCTTGGACAGTGGATTGTTCATTCCAGCACTTTCTAAATAAGACGTCAGCTCGTACATAAGAGGATTGTCCTCACTGGGATAAGGCAGGCTGGGGTCCTGGTAGTGCTTCTCTATTTCAGACAAGAGAGCTCTGCAACAACAGCAGGAATTACTGGACTATAAATGCTTCACACTTGCACATAAAGGAGCTAGCGAGAATTATGTATAACCTCGGGGATGAAAGCTGAGATGAGGCATAGCTACATGAAATAAATTTTATATCTTTACATTGTATTACTTTCCTGATGACTAGACACGAGTAATTTTCGTCACCATATGTGACTGATTTATTTCAAAGTGTTATACTCAATATAACTTACACATTAAAAGTTTGCAGTGCACTTGCCAGAAATTTGGAGTCAAACTGACAAGATGTATTCAACTGGTATGTTATCTGGGTGCGGAGGAGTTGCATCTGTCCAACCTTTATAAAGTAGAAAATCTCAAGGTACAATGTGATTAAACAATTAATTTAATGATGTACATGTGATTTCTCAGGCCACTCCACTTCCTACAACAAAACTGTTCAGTATCTGAAAAGATATTTAATTTTTTATTCTAGACTATTTCTTTTTTTTGTGTGTGTGCAGCAAAAATTACATAAATACAATGAACAAAGACTTGCAGAAAATTTTGTTCAATATACCTTCAAAATTATATCCAGATATGGCTGCCACAACCTTGTTGCCTTTGTCATAAGTGGAACATATGCTTTATGAGGGTTGGCTGTAAATTAAAATTTTTATGAAGAAATGATATATCTCATCATAATTATATGATCATAAAATTAAAATATTAAAAGTAGTTAAAGCAAAACAAAATTAACATAAAAAATCTCAAGGTATAAAACAAAAACTGCTTTAAAATGCAAATCTGAGCAGTGGCGTGGTGATTTGTCAGATACAACAAAACAAATGGTTTTTGACATTTCCTTCAATACCTGAACATATTTTAGTATGGACTAACTTACCAACAACACTCCTGACAGGATTAATTGTTGTGACAAGAGTTCTGAACAACTCCAGCCAGGCTTTGTCCTTTAGAACAGTTCTCTGGACCATGAGCAGTAAGGACTGCAGCTCTCTTACTATCATGAAGCAAAGCAGTCTGTCCAAACCAGACAGACCAAAATTTCCAACTCCTTTCTGAAAGAAAAATAATAATAAATTCACATTATATAATATTTACACTATATAATTTTATTTATACAAATGCAGCATACTATTTCAAATGCATGCACTTTCTGTAAGACTGTAGCTAAATTTCAGTATATTAAATGATACTTTATTTCTTTTATAATGCATTTTATCCACTCATTTATTCAATAACCCTGTAAAGCAATATCCCTGTAGGTCTCCATTTTAGATATTTCTGTCATAGAATAAACGGTCTCAGAGTATGATTTTGGAATATTATAATTCTGATTTTAAAAAAAATTAAACAAAGCAAGACCTCTAGCTTCTGAAACAGTTTGATGTTGATGAGTTCCTGTTTGGTTTTGCAGTCATACCAAGCCCTCATCTGGTGGATAAAGGAAGTGGTTCTGAAAATATTCAAATCACAAAATCAGCCATTCAATCTAACTGACAGTTATCATGTTTTTGGCCAAGATCTGGACCAAGACTCTCTATGAATATCCGACCACCAGTTTTGAAACTGAATTGCCCATAATTAAGTACGTTCTGTCACTCTTAATTATAAACAATGAGAGAGAGAATATTCAGAACTTTGAAAGTTTTAAAAGTGCATACTACCTAGGATCGGTTATCCTCAAGATTTCCCTACCAAGTCTTCCAATAAAGTTGACAGACTGATCAACAGGCTGATATCTTGGTATGGGTATAGCTGTTGATTGATAAACACTCTGCCAATCTGCAACCTGTAATTTCATACCCACTTGATTAAGATTTGCATGTAGACAAAAATGGAGATAAGCAAGACAGTAGAAAAAATGCAAATAATAATAATAAAACAATACTAACAATATATCAAGTCTCCTTAACTGTCAATATGACTAACTGGCTGAAAAAATATGTCTCCTCACAATCAACACTGATATTGTGTTAGGTGTGACATGACATGACATGACAATGTGCTGTTTGTGCCAAAAAAGGGGGCATCCACTGTTGAAGATTACCTTTGTTCTTAGAAAGCTATTGCACTCCTGTTCTACATTGTAGTTGACTATCCTGGACATCTCTTCCTGCCAAATCTTCAGGCCACAGATGTTCACATAGTCCTGAATGTACTCAAATGACCTTCTAAAACCATCCATTACCTGTCCAAGTAACTCTAATTTGGGGATAAGCTCACTGGTCTGAAACCAAATAATAGAATTCCATGAACATACTGAATTACATGAAATGTGTTCCAATCAATTGTAAGTCAAATATGTTCTATCCATATACATCAATTTTTGTAACAAAATATATTGAGAGACACATCATGTACATTAAATCAGGTATACCAAGTGATTACTTAAAAAAAGTTTTTTTGACAGTACCTTCGCCTTAGGGTTGAATATAAGCCCTTGATGTAAGGCACTGGCCACTTGTGCGACCAGCTCTTTTCTGATTCCATCTTCAAGCAGTTGCTTTGGATCAATCTTAAATAAGAAATGTAATGAATCAACAACAAAAAATATTTTAATTTAACCAAATAATTTCTGTACATAATCCCAGTCCAAGTACATCTCATAAAATCAAAACTTACAATAATTATTAAAATATATGAAAGAGCTATGCTAAATGATCTTACAGCAATGCATTTTCCATACCTTGATGATACCAACTAGGGTTGTTTTCATCATGAGAATTCCTTCTGTGAACACGGAAATGGAGTGGGTAAGTCTGGCAACTTCGTAACGTTCATCCAGTTGAGCAAATTCTCTCATTTTCTCCTTTTCTAACCTTGTGGGTAGCTCTTTTATCTGTCCAGTTTGCAGTCTAATAATTCTGTGAAGTAAGGTGAACATGGTTTCTGGAATAATCTGAAAACAAAATCAAAATCCTCAAATGATTTGAAGATGATACATATGTTGCCATAATATGAGAAAGGCCAATAATCACATCTGGGACTTCAGATGCAAATAGCATTCTTCAAAAATATATTTTATCAATAGTTTTCCATCACAATTTCAGTGTTTCTGAACTGACTGACCTGGAGGACCTTCCTGACATATGAAACCAATTCTCCTGAGTAGTACTGAGACACACTCATCAAGTCTGGGCTGCTTGCCTGGTTGATTCTCAGCAATGGGAGATCCAAAGCAGATGCCAACTGAATATACAAAACACTAGAATGAGCCTACTGGCAGGGAAACAAATAAAGACTATATCTGTAACTACAATTATAAAAATCTTTATCCATACTTCATTACATCTATTTATGTCTCACCAATATATCAATAAAATAAAATACAATAAATGAAAAATAAAAATAAATAAAAATTGTTAACTGCACATTGCAAATAATCAAAATGGTGCATTACCTTTAAGAAAGTTGCCCTCAATTTTGTAACCAAAGAAGGATTCTTCTTAATTCCTTCTTGCATAAAAGATGTATAGCTAAAAGAAAAAAAAATAATAACAACAGAAGAAGAATAAATATGACATTAAGTTCACAACACCAAGAAAATATTTTCTGAAAAAAAAAATACAAAGGTAATTATTTCACTCGGTGTCACAGAGACCACTGATGAATTCCTACACAACTATTAACTTCATACTGCCCTACCCATTTAGCGTACCTGTCTATTATAACCCATGCATATGCCAAATCCCCAACAATTTGCATGGTAATGAGAACCTCTTCTTTGATGTTAATGGTACGTATCATTTGGTGCAAAAACTTCCTCGTGTCAGCCAGGAACTGCTTCACTTGCAGATTACTTTCAAGTTGATGGAATTCTTGAACCTTAAGGGAAAAAAATACCAATTTTTTAATTTTTAAATTAAAAGGTATAACTTACGACTTGTACGACCATGAATAAACACTGGTATATCTTGACCTGCTACTCAGGTATAAATATACTCACTTCCTCCAGGGCTTGGATAAGCTGTACAATCTTCCTTCCAGCAGAGACAGCATCATCATAGTTGAGGGATCCTATTTGTTTGGACATCTCTGCAAACCAGGCTTGCAGGTTCTCTGAGAACAGAATTGTGAATTATAAGTTCACTATGTAATTTGTTACACTTCGTCTATCTTTTCTTTTTTAAAATAAGTTCACAAAATATGCCCTTATGTTACTACTACTGCACATTTTTAATATATGTAAGACTTGGTGTTTCTCCTGTTATTCTAGTTATAATGATGAATTTCATGATAGGCATATGACTCTTCATCATGGCCCTTGCTATTAAGTTACCATTTTTCTGCACTCTTGTAAGAGGCTTGGTCCCTGAAAAGACTTCACTTAGTTCCAAAACTCTTTCACTTCCTTCTTTCTTGTAAAGTTCCCACTTAGCTTGTTTCCCTGCCAACATCTGCTTAAACATCTAAAACAATACAAACAAATTTGGCTTCAGATCTGAGTAAATCATGTATCAATACTTCAGGTGTTTTCATCAATTCTCTGCAATATCATGTCAAGCAATGACTTCTGGTGTTGTCATGTTTCTTGACCTCAAGTTATTGAACATTTTCATTTGTATAATACATGATAGGTAACTCACCTCTTTCAATTTAAACTCGAGCTGTGAAGTGTTGAGTAAAAGTTCAAAGAGTGCAACAGGGTTGTATTTGCTGTCAGCTATCACCTGCTCCCTCAGCTGCCGGCACCTCTTGTTGGCATCAGCACCTTCAATGATGAACAGTAAAATCAGACACCATTTACACGTTTTTAATATGACCTAGCTGAGGAGTTCAAACCTGCAATCCCCACCCTAGAGGTAGGGCAGGAGAGTACTTATATTTGTGGAGTTCATGCAACAACTTTGCATACACTGTACCGAAACAGTTCCAAATTTAACTTTTACTTAAATTTAACTTTTTTTGCTCAAATAAAGATATCCTCATGGATAAATACATGTAACTTACTGGTATTCAAAGCTGTGGTGTGTAGCATCATCCACCTGATGGTGACATTGCACTCGCGAATCACATTCATCAGTTTAGGAATGTTGTCCAATACAAATTCTTCCTCTAGCACACCCTCTTTCAAATACTGCAGGACAGCAGTGTTTACTGTCTTCACTTTGGTTGAAAATCGGTTTGCCTAGTAAATCAAAAGGGAAATAAGGAGAAAAAGAGGAATCAGATCACTACACTTATTTGAAGCAAATTGATGCAAGCAGTTATCAGAAAAAATAATGAAATTTAAAAATCAACTCATTAGACAACAACTTACCAGGTCATCTGACATTGCCTGCTTCACAAGAATTGCTCAGGGCACTTGAGGCAGCTTTATACGGGGCCCAGGCATCCACTAAATTTACTACATCTCCCATGTAGATACTTATCACCTGTGTATAGAAGACACAATGCCCATTTGAAATGATGCCTCATAATATAATCTTACTGATGTACCTACATTTATGTTATAAGTAAACATCTTTACATATTCAATTCAATTGATAAAAACAACAAATACACCCAATTTCTAACAACACAAAAAAATGCATTTAAAATCTTTTAACACAAAAACTGCAACCAATGATGAAATTACCCAATTATCAGGAAAGTGCTTATCAACTATTTCCCTCATCTTGGCTGTCTGGTTGTGTAGAATTTCTGGAGCAAAGTACAAAATCACATACAGCATACTGGCTTGTGTGGCCAGAGCAGTGCTCCTGTGCTCAGGTAATGGGTAGGCAGAGATCTGGTTGTATATATCATCTGACCTCAGTCTCCCTATTGTCATGTTCACAAATGTTTTGTTGATAGGAACCCGGCTGAAAGTTAGCAAGAAATATTTGTTAAGAACTATTGTACCTTTTTATAATTTTTCCAAATGAATATCCAGTTACATATACAGTTTTATGCTGTGTCTAATTCAAATCTGCCATCAACAAAATCTTAGTAGTATACACTTATTTGAAGTATGTTTCTGCTTGTAATATTATATATTTTCAATATTTTCAATAGTACCTGAAAAAAGCCTCTGGATAGTTGGGAGGTCTTTTGGCTCCAGGTGCAGCTGAAAACCCTGTCCCTCGCAACAACTTACAGACATCATCAATGTTGGAATCTGTGGCATTCCTGGCACTATTAAGGTCAGAGAATGAAAAAAAAACATGTATCGATATGTATTAGTTATATATTGTACTGTAAAGCATATAAACAACATATCTCTCGATGAAGCACACTTTCTCTCCTTTTTTAAGCATGTATTGTGTGTTGAGTACTGCTGTCAAAGAGGTTAAGACAGAAATGATTTAATAATTACCTATCAATCATATGCAAGACGTAGTCAACCTCACATATTACAGCAGATGCAGATAATCTTTCTTCCAAATAAAATTGGGTTAACTATATCTTATATAATATAACTATATATTATATAATTGCTAAATGAAACATTTTACAGTATTACAGTATATTTCTTTTTTAAACATACCTGTATCTGTGGTATGAAACCAACATTCTTTCTCTCACAACTCCTTCTATCTTGTAATCAATGATCATCAGCATAACCCCATATAAATAAAGACTTTCACTCTGGAAAAAAATAATTTGTCAAAAATAATATTTGCTTTCACATGTTAGCTAAAACAATGTAAATTAAAAATCTAAATCTCAAATTTAAATCTAAACTTATCTTACATTCATTTCAAGATTCACTAAAACTCACCATCAACTGCTTTCCATCTTCGTTAAGAAGAACAGATTCTAGTGTCTGTTGAATGTAGACTCCTTCATCTAGATCTTCCAAAAATCTAAAAATGAGAACCAACGGTATATATAATTTATCCATCACCAGTTACTGCTGAGGATAAATTAAGTATTGATTGGCTATAAGTTGATTGTACTGTACCATTCAATTAATAGTGATAATCTTGAGCATAAAGCTATAAAGAAGTAAGGTCAACACAAGTATTAAGTACATGTAACCAATTCAGCTTTAAACTTGTTTATTCAAGATGTGTCATTTACCTGTTAAGATCAGTCACATATTTATAAACACTCTCAAATGCCAGAAAAAATCTTGTCAAAATTTCTTCATGGTTCTCTCTGAATTCTTCATCCAGATCTTGGAGTTCCTGTAAAATATTTTAAGTATAAATATTCTACACAACTGAAATACAAAAAGAAAAAAAAACAGTTCAAGTGAAAGTGAGAGACAAACCAGCAAGCTATGAAAGCTTAAACACAACCTGTTTTTTTTTGTTTTTTTTTTTACATAATAAACACTTTTGTCTCATTAACACTGTCTAGAAAAAAGGAAACATCAACTATAAACAAAGATAACAAATATAAAGATCTCTAATACAAACAAACGGAAAATACAGGTTAACTGGTCACTTACCACCTTAGAATTAATCTTGTCATCAAAATACTCTGAACTTTGAAAATAGCTGAAATCACACAAGATTTCTCCATATTTCAGTTGGTCAGCTTTTGTTTCCTGTTTAAACACTGGGGGGATAAAGTCTGATAGCCTTAAAAGTTCAGCAATTATGGCATTGCCCCTGGATACAAGGCGCAGAATTGTCTGCCCACATACATTATTTTCTGCTAGAAAATCTGCTGTGGCACTCATAGTTGTGTTTTTGTGGTTAAATTTCCATATGCATCATTTGGTTATGGCACTGCTGCAAATAAAAAATAATGAAAATCCGGATAGTGACAAAGTCACATGTTGTAAACAGTGACCAATTTGGTTGCAAATTCATCATATTAGTGAGACATAAAAAGTGAAGGTTGAGTGAATTGAAACTGGACTCACAAAGATTGTCAACATAATCTGATATCCTAACTGAATTTATCCTCCTTGTCTTTCTATCATTGGTGATTTGGAGTAGTTAGTATAAAACTCTGTGTGTTTGTACTTGTATACAGTAGCTCTTCAATGGCATATCTGTTTTGGCTGCGTTATTCAGTACTGTATATTTCAAAGAAATACCCGGTACATCTACATCATGTACATGTAGTACATGTACATCCCGTAAACTATCATGTGTAGAAGTGCAATGGTTTCTGTTCTTTTGCAGCAGTTACTCTATCTTCAAATATAAGCTTACATTAGCTCCTCGAATGTCCTTCATTAAAAACTGCAGTCAAATTTCTAAAAACATACATGAAGGAATACAAATGCTCTTCTCAATATTTACCTCCGAGATCCGCCTCTTTCGTCTGCCAAGCCATATAAAATCATGTGACGGCATGATTCGGTCCTTGTTTCACAACAAAGACTCTACGGGAAATATTACCTTTTATTGATATATATAACAACTTAAAAAATAAAAATCATAATATGCTGTACAAAATTAAAAACACTTCCTGGTAATTGTCAAGAATATTATCTTACAACCATGTTTTTTGTAAAATTGGTGGGATTAATTTTTAGGGGCCTAATCAGTTTACTTATTGCAAAGAAAAGCCCATGCAATTAACTAGACAGTGATAGCCACTTATACATTTTCAATGTCCAAAAAAATGTATCACCAACGAAAAAGTGTCAAAATAATTCAAATAAGCTAAAATATCAAATTATGTAGATCAATATTTTCCAAAATGAGAGAATATATTTAAAAATAAGCGTTTCTTGGATAACGTCTGACCTCTACCGGTCAAAATAAAGTATATACTATGGCCGACGAAGACGAAGTTGACATTGAAGGCGATTTTGAATTGGCTATTGAGTAAGTTTACGGTGGCGTATATGACGTAGAATTTTCCTGTTGTCAAGAGTCCACATGTCTCTTAATTTTGATTATAAGTACCTGTGTTTGCAGTCGTGTTAACGCACACATTCAACGTACAATTCTAAAGAAACTGAATCGCGACAAAAGAACAATAACTTGATGTCCAACTTAACTGAATAAGCAGGTGCTATACATACCATAACTGTATGATTTAAATATAATTTTTGCCCATTATATATTTTAATTAATCGAATTTGCCAAGTAAGTGTGGTAGGTCTAAAAGATAATCTCAGTATGTATTAATTTTGAATAAACTAGGCCAGAACCATCAGTTGCTTATGATGTAAATGAGCTGCCTTCCAAAACCGCGAATCTGCTGCCAGAATTTACACAGCCACCATGGATGCTGGAACAAGTAAGATATTATTTTGTAATATTTATGAATTATTTTTGTTAAACTATATTCTGGTGAAATAGAGCAGTCAAATGCATTACTCCATTCAGATGAAATGAAACAAAATTTAAATATATATAACTACTGATTTTTTTACAGCAATGAGTAGGTAATTTATATTAATACCAACAGTGCCTAAAATGCTATCTGTCACTGCCTTATAATTATTATTTTTCCCCAGGGCTGGTCTCTGGATCATCTGACCATGGATGAAAAAAGCAAGGCAACCATAGAGAAAATGCTTCTAGAGGAACAGTATCCTTATCTTAGAAAACATTTTTGATAAATGATCAGATACAGAGCTTCATCTTTGCTAAGATTCATATTTAGGAGCTGTTCAGATTGCCTCCTCTTATTTCCATTGTACTTGTATAGTCACCAGCTTCTCTGTATTCTACTCAGTGCCAGTAAAAGGTGTGTTAGTCTGTTAATCTGTTCAAATGAATTCAGATAGAGTCACTGTGGAGTTCATGCACACTAGCAAGAGCACACTAACTTGTTTTGAAAAGCACCATAGACTTTGCTTTAGAATGAACTCTGTTAAGGATCATATTTGATAATAATTATTTGTTTTGTGAAAGTATACATTTACCCATTTTCACAAAATATATAAAGCATAAAAGCCAGTAATACATGTGTTGCATGGAGGTTTAGTGTTCTGAAACCCAGATGAGACATGTTTCCTTAAAGCATCTCAGACATTATTTGAATGGCACCAAGAGTGTTGGAAAAACCAAACCCTCTTGCAGCACACAGACCTCATCCACATACAAGAAACCATGGACACAAGAAGAAAAGGACTTGTTTCATAAAGGATTGGTGAGAATTATTCAGTTTTATTTTCCATTTTTGTGATTTTAAATGGTCTGCTGGATTAAAAATGTCCACTCCTGAACAATGGATTTTAATAAGTCATAACTTAATATTCAGTTAAATTTTGCATTTATTACTTTAAAATCATAGTGTTACTGCCATATAAAAAATTTTTGATTCAGTGGCTTATAGATAGTCTATCTGGCCATCTGGAGAATTATTTTTATTAAGCTTTCAGCATTGTTTACACAATGCTAACTTTTGACTGAAATATCTTTTGTTTACAGGAAATATTTGGTAGAAGTTGGACCAAGATTGCACAGTTAATCCCAACTAGAACTACCCTACAGGTGAAGAACTATGCTCAGCAGTTCTTTAAAACACAAGTAAGTTAAAGTCTAAAGTGTTTTGTAGGTAGCCTTCAACCCTTACTGACCCAAACTTGGACAATGCTTACCAAAATATTTTAATTCGTGCCCAAATGTGGTGCCAGTTATGGTGCAGCGAGCCACAAATCCGAGTTATATGTTTTTGTCAACATAATACAATACTGGTACTTAATCAAAGCTACAAATATATATTTTTTCAGCTTTTGTTGTGTCATGCATGCATGTGTGTAAGAATATTTGCCATGTAATTATGTAGAATTACAACATGTTTGTATTCATCATGTTGTATACTGCATTTCAGAACAAGCACAATGCAAGGCTACTGCAATCTTTTGACCTCAAAGACCTGGAAGAAATTTCTAGAGGCAGTGACAAGCCACCTGATCCATTGGAAACTGCACTGAAGTTAGTCACAACTGGTCAACCAACAGTGCCATCAGCTTTAGCTTCACCCCAGAGAAAACAGCTGAAGCCAAGCATGCCTCTTCGACATAAATCAAAGAAAAAACCAAGACTTGAAGAAGATACCTGTCATTCAGATCCAGTGTCAGCTGTTCAGTCATGTACTGAGACCTCCATATTGCCTACTAATGTGACATTAAACCACTCATGTCCTAATCTGGATACTGGTATCCATGAGAACCTGGATATGAAGCTGGATATTAGAGACATGGATAACATATTGCAATCTCCACAAAAGAAGGAACTACCAGATGATGTAATATGTATTGAAAAAGTTGAGGAAGATGAAGATGTAGAAATAGACATTGAGGATGACTCTGAGGTTGAAACTGACAATGCAGTTTTATTACAAAGGTCATCATCTCCTAGTTCTGTTTATGATAAACTCATTCAATCAGTGCATCTTGAAACACAGCCAGAAGTAGATGAGGAAGAAAATGTAGAGAAAGATGTACCAAATGACACAGGCACATATCTGGGATCTCATGATATTACAGAACACAGGAATGAAGTATCACGTCAATCAGGTGTCTTAGGCAAAAGTAAAGACACAGAAGAATCATTGCTAAATGGCAGTATTTCTAGTAGTTCTTCAGTGATCAATACCTCAGACCAGTATAATAGTCATGGTGTGCTGCCTTGTGAAATGGATGGCAACTCCACTTCCAGCAGTGAACTACAAGGTGGAGAACAGGAGGATGACACATTTAACCCATGTGGTAAGTAGGCACAGCCTGCCATGGCACCACAGGTAGCAGACTAATGACAATTAATTGGCAGGTACTTGAAGGTTTTGAATCAGCTGAACCAGTCTGTGACTATAAATATTGTTTTCTATGTGGACATAAAGCTGTTATATAGTAACCCATTATAGATGTTAATAGAGAAATGAATTTGGTGGTTGACTTGTTATACTGTGGGACATGATGTAATGACCAAGTAATGCAGCACTTTTTAAAAATTTTATTTTGTATTTATATTCTTCAGAGTTTGAGATATTGACATCAACAGGGAAGACTGCTACATTTCCAATACCTGTTGAAGAAACTTCTTTGGAACGGGATCAGATTCTAGATGAAGAAAAATATATTCATTCAGAATTCTTTGATGGGCGCCCTATGAAGACACCCCAAAGATACCTGACGATCAGAAACCACATTATTGATGCATGGTAAGATAAGACGAGGAAAATGTAGTTTTTAAGCTGTAAGACCCGAAACATTAGTTGGCAACCAGTTTTTTAAGAAAAATTCATCTTTTACCTTTTTAACTCTTCTGGAATAATTGCACAACATCATCAATTTTCTTGTTATCCCTTTAATTATATGATTATCCTTTTGATTTTCATTTAATTTTGTCCTTTTTTGTAGGGAAAAGTGCAAACCAAAATTTCTGTACAAGACTGCAGTACGTCCAGGTTTGAAAAACTGCGGAGATGTGAATTGCATTGGTCGTATTCATACTTATTTAGAAGTAAAAGGATGTATTAACTTTAATTGTGGTAAGTATTCGAAGCACTTTCAGATAATGGAATTATATGAGTGGCAAACTTAAATATTTGATGTTTTAAATTACATTAACATATATTTAGAATTTCCAAGAAAAGCATTGAATCATCTTTCATTGACCTAACATAATTTTAGGAAAAGTAGTGAAACGAGAAGGCTATTGTATAAATTTGTATTTTGTAGAAGAGGTTTGTTACAAGAGACCAACAAAAAGATTGACATTACCCTCTAAAGTCAAGATTGACAAGGAGACTTTACAAGCCCTTCAAGCAGAGAAAATGGAAGCCATGGTAAAGTATATTTTTATGGTGCAAATTGCATTAAAACATATGTATGTTATATATAGGACAACTGTTTAAGTGTATTTAATGGCATCCTGATTTTAAAACAGAAACCAAAAGGCTCTTTAGTTTGCAAATTGTAGGTTGCCCTACAGTGCAATAGGTGAATATATCTTAGTTCAATTTGCAGAGACCTAGAAAGAGAAGAGTTAGAGATGCCTTTGGAAATTGGATCAATGAAGATGAGTTAGAGGGAACAACAATAGAGGTATTGTTATGGAGCTAAGATGTTGAAATTTTCATGATAAAAACACTTTCTCTGTCAAATCAGCAAAAATGTATTAGGTACTGCCTGTGATTTATAGATATATACGTAGATGTCAAGATTTAGATCACAGTGAAATGTTATTAATGCTTGATATAAAATGTAAGGTGTTTATCCACATTTTGTCTTTAGCACAAACCTACAGAAGAAGGCTCATCCAAACCCAAAGTTTACAAAATAAAATATGATCCATTCAAGCTGGTACCTTGTATGAACTTCTCTGAGGAAAAGAAGGCAAGTGAACGCAGTATCATTTTTAGCACAGATTTAATTGATTGATGTGATTGTTATGGAAAATACGTCTCAATTGCAATTTTCAACTGTCTGTTTCTAAATAACTTCAACACAATAAAGTCTTTTCTAGAAAATTGTAAAACCCCACCAAGTGCTATTTTTTAGATATGTCTAATGTTTTGACCCCTCTGTTAAAATGCAGGCTCCTTTCCTGGTGGATCTGTCCACCTCAGCCCAGACCATGATGGACGTCCATTCACACATGGCTAAGACCGAGGTGATAGGGCTTCTGGGAGGCACATTCTCTGAGGAACAGGGGAAACTTCAAGTGTTTATAGCAGAGCCTTGTAATAGCCTCAGCACAGGGATGCAGTGTGAGATGGACCCAGGTTTGTATGCACAACACAGGGTTCTTTTTAGGTGCAACTCTCTAGGCATGTTTTGACATTTTCCACAACATACAAAGAGCAAAGTGACGAAGCATACTTTCTGTTATTTTTAGGGACTGACATATAGTCATCACTGTCTGCTATGATATAAACCAAGCTCCTAACTGAAATTTAATTTAATTTCTATTATTGTGATTTATTATTTTTTGAAATTATCTTATCATTATAATTTTTTTGTTATTTTTTTGCAGTGTCCCAAACTCAGGCTAGTGAGAAGATCAGAACCCTAGGCTACAATGTTGTTGGCTGGTATCATTCACATCCAACATTCGCACCAAATCCTTCCATAAGAGATATTGAGACACAAGAAAAGTTTCAGGTAAAACTATTAATTCATTTTTTTAGCTTGATCAGTAATGACTGAGTATGTGAATCTCTAGTGAAGGTTACAAGGAGAGATATGTTTGCCATTGTCCAATTACTTTAAAAATTAGAAAAGTTTCATTGCCTTTGGTATTTCTGATATTTTATATAGAATAAATGACACACTGTTTTCCCCTCCAGGAATGGTTTTCAAAAGGAGGTAACCACTTCATTGGCATTATTATCAGTCCTTACAACAGACTCAACAACAGCATGGTGTCCCAGATAAAATGTCTGACAGTTAGTCAAGAGCAGAGTAGTGCTGGTGACTTCAGTAAGTATTCTTTATAGGTGTACATTTCTTTGATCTTTGAATGCATGTGGTACTTTGAACTTAACTGAATATGATCAATAGAATCTTTTAAAGAGGTATTTTAATGTTAAGGATGATCGATTTTTTTTTTCTTCATCGGCATGGGGCATTTTCAGTCTGCTATTAATGATCAGGGATGTAAAGCTAAGACAGAGTCGTACATCTTAGCAAAATATATTTGTTCAAAAGGAAATGAATAATATGTCCTCTACTTGAATCTCTTTTTAAAAATTGTCATCATCATTTTATTACTGTCATCATTTATTGTTGGAACACCATGTAATGTGTCAGCAAAATGGCAAAGCATTAATACATTAACTGGTGATTTCAGAAATCCCTTACCAGTTCAGTTATGTTTTGTTCCCGGATGTGAACGGTGTATTAAATGAGGACTTCCAGAAGACACTGAGATGTCTAATAGAGAAGTTTGCAGTGTACACTAGCAGAGTGGAGATGCTACTGAGATATAAAAGTGCCTCCACAGCAAGCTGCTTAGAAAAAGTGGGTGCCATGAGTTTCTTTTGTGTATTGTGACATAGTATAAAGGTTGTTTGCTTTGACTTGCATTCAATTGTGTTTTCAAAGAGAGTACAGTTTTTTGTCTACCATTGAAACCTGTTGAATTGACAGTTAACTACTACTACGTACTACTACTACGTACATACAGTTAATATAAGTGTATTATTGTGAAAGATGCAGTTTTTTCCTCCTGTTAGATAAATCAACCTTAAACTAAAGCTTAATACCACGTATATGTTTCTCAAAACCTAAATGTTGTTGATATTGTAATTTCAGCTCCAGGCATCTATAAGAAGTTACCTTCCTAGAAGTGATTCTTCACAGGAATTCATTGAAACTTTAAAAATAATGATCCAGTCACATTTTACTGCTGTTGATGAGGAAGAATACAAAGACTGACTTAAATAGTTTGATGACCAAATTGAATGTTGCTTTTTACATGTTCTATGTGTTATTGTTACAAAGAAATTATTATAGTGCAAAGTTAAAGAAAAACAATAGTATTTTGATAACAGCTCATTCATGAATTTCTCTGTGTGGTTAATGGTGAAGCCATTAATATACCAAAATATAATTTATTTTGAATTATACATGCTGCCTTCATTTCATCTTTATTGGTGTTAGTGAATGTGTGCGTGACATTTCAGTTATGCAAATATGTGTTTTGACAGGAATAATACAAACTATTCTTTTGATTGTGTTTTGGTATGGTAAACATATGTAAGGAGATGACTCTACTGTTTGGTCAACATCAAATAAGGTCGAGCATAGCTGTCATTTTTCATAAACAACTGGAAAGCACTGGGCAAGCACGACCTCCGCCAAGACAACTTGATTCTCATTCTCATTTATCTGTATTAACTAGTTTATTAATAGATTAACTCAATTCTCATTAGTATTTATTATTATTTAATTAATTTATCAAGTACCTATAATCTCACAATTATTGATTAATTAATTAATTTAGAAACTAATTTATTAACTGCTTAATCACCACCCAAATATAGCCCCTTTCCGACCTATTCTGAAAATCTAATCAAAGTCCCTAACTTTTTGCATGTTGTTGCTAACAGACAGACAGACAAAAATAATAATTTACAATTATTTTATCAATGGATCATCGCCAAAATCTAATCTTCAAAGTTCAATAAACAGACAAACAAAGTATAAACGTAACCTCCTTGGCGAAGGTGATTAATAATAGCCCCATTTTGTTACCAGGTAGACTTGTACTTAATTGTATTTTTTATGTAATTAGGGGTATCTGCTGCCTTGTTTTAAGGTTTAATACTAACAATATGCACTGCAATGCGCTTTTTTCCTAAGTTGTTTCTGTATAAAAATGAATATTATCCATGTGGACCTGCGTTCAGAAATGGATATCTTATCTTTGTGATTCTGATGTATTTCCCCCTTGCCACTTGTAGATACGGTAAGGAAATACAAAGGTTTTTTTTTTATTCAAGTATATTTTTGCTCCAATAGAGAGGGTCCAATTGGGGGGGGGGGGCAGTGAACACAGTTGACGGGATAAATAAAAACATATATTCACAAAACACAGTTCACAAGTAAAACTTTGTTCATATGTCAGCGATAATGCGAGTCGAAATCCCCTGAAAATCATGAATCGCCGTGTATAATAACTTCGCTGAATCAAAAGCCCCATTCACGAGTCACGGGATAACGCTTAATAATATGAGCCTTTCACGCATCTCGGGAAATAAAAAGTGGCTTTTCACGGGTAACAAAAATACCCAATGGGACAATAGATCTTTCTAGTTATAAGTAAACCAGGAAGTGACAAAGCTTACAAAAACGCGCTCGCTCAACTTACCCTTATGTTATCACTTGGACTTTAATCCAGGGTCTGCCTATCAAAAACCTGAACTACGCGGGACAAATAATGTTTTTGTTCCTTAGTAATCGAACCCATGTTTGACCTAGTTGCGTGATATCTCATAACCAGTACGAGTAAAGAACATGGCCGAGTCAGACGTTTCCGAGTTGACTTGGTCAAAAGTTTATTACTCTACCGAGGAAGTGGTGGAGAAATTCAGTCTTCCTTTCATTGTTAAAGTGGCAGAAGGTTTTTACGGCGAAAGGGATTATGAATCGTTTTCTTCAGATGACATATTAAAAATCTATGCTAAAAAGTCGCTTCAGAAGGTGGAGGCCCGTGTACCCGGAAGTTCTGAAAATGTCAGCATACCTTTAGCTTACACCGGGGCGGTAAAGATTTTACCTTTAATGGGCGAACATCATATCTATTCGACGATCGGGGAAGCAATAGACGAGGAAATGCCTTCGTTTCTGAAAATTGGGAAACCCATATCTCCTCCACAACGATTGGGGCATAACGTGCGCACAGGGACTATTTTACAAATTGATAAGATTGAAAAGAGGATGACTCCCAAGGGTATTCAAGAATTTGTCCTGTGTCATGGAGATGGCAGAGACTTATGTCTCCCTAGAGACTTTGAAGGTGATTTCACCGTAGTACCAGACACGCAGCATTACAGACTAAGTGATGTCATTAACCAGAAACCGTTACCTTGCAGGATAAAGATCGTCGGTGGACGAGAGAGGTTGGCTCTGTCAAAAGACGTGCAAGAAGGAATTAGCAACCTGGAAGACTTTTCCGGGGAATTCACCCTGATAAAATTATTCATGCAAGAAGTTTTAGTCGCCAGTACACAGATTCACGAAGAAGGATGCCCAAAACAGTCTTTGATCTCAAAAAAGAACATAACATTAATTCCTCTCTCTCCGGTGTCATTAAACGTCAGTTTCTTTGTAGCAGAAGAAAGTCCAGATTATCATAGAATTATTGTGAAAAGTTTTGGAACGGAGATCGACGTCAGTCAGGTAACCGAAAGATGGTTTTGTTCTATGACTTCCCCACTTTTACTTCTTAAGTGATTTTATGTGGTTTTTATTTTAAACAAATATATTAGTGAGTGTCGGCCCAAATACAGTAAGTACGTATTTTAAGTCGCAGTCCTACTGAAATTGATGAACTAACTGTTCCATGACAAAACAGCATTCTAGCACTTACAGCGGCATATTCCCTGGGAACGTCATTGGGATTCTATCTATCTTTGCAAAGCAACAACGAGTTATAAACATTTTGGCTTAATTTCTACTATTTTAGGTTGATGACGATGAGGCATACATTGAATATGTGACAAAACCGCGTAGTCGCGTCTATTCTGATTCGGCTTTGAACCCGCCAACAGTACCACCCCGTTCACATACTGGAGACGGGTATATGCCAATTATCGCAGGTAATGAAAGAGAAATGAAAGCTTTTATTTTTGTTTGAAATGGGCGTTTATTTCTTGTGATGGCGTGCTAGCACGTACCACAGTAGGCCTAGATGGGCATATTGAAAACAAAACAAATGTCACATTAAATTTTAAAAGATTATAGATTCATGACAGCAGTTTTTTTTTCAGAATATTTTATCTTTATATGGTGCAATACGCACCTGTTTATTGGCTACATCAAAATGTAAATAATGATTCATCCACTTGCGACGCCTTTTGAACGTACCTGTATATTGGCTGTCAACATCTGAAGCACACTGGTTATCGTGGTCTTCCTTACTTATCGCCAGAAACTACTAGTTTCCTCAGTAGGATCTTTGATTATGTCAAATGTTATTAATATGTCCAGTTGTGACTAAATAAAAAATTTAAACAGATAGTTGATCCACAACACTTTTGAGATGTTTAGGAAATTCAAAACAGTTAGAAGAGGATTTTAGAACTTCTTGCTAACCTGGCTTTGATTCGATAGTTTTGTATTTACGTATAAAAAGATAAAATACAAACGAGTGCTATCTGAGTGCCTCTTCAAAATTTAACTGATAATGTCTGTCTCAGACAAGAACTTCAAGATCTTTGGATTTGTGATAATATACTTGTCTCAAGATAAGGATACTTGGCACGGAAAAAAAGTTAAACTTAATGGGGTTCCTTATTGATGCTGCCGGGTTTGTACTTTATTTCGACCTTGGATCCTCTCAATAAAACGTAAATGGGTTTGCTATAAACTAATTTCTCTAGTATCAGAGAGATTTAGCCAAAATAATAATAATAATAATAATAATAATAATAAATTAATTAAATAAAAAATAAAACACAAAACTAACACGCACATACATGCACACACACACACACATAATTAAACATTGCCAAGTAATATAATAAAAGATGGATTTTAATACCATGGACATTGACAATATTGGTTCCTTAACATTTTTATGAGACACGTGAACAGTTCTTTGGCATGTTGTATAACTGATTCACGTGCTTGCATCTTGATAACGACAAACTTGACCCCATTTCTTATTTTTATTCCAGAGTCCCAGGGAGATGAAATGGATTCCGACTCTGGAGATGGCTACGAGGAAATTGACGACGACGACTTGGAAGAATTAAAAGCGAGTCGGGCCCGAAGAGAAGCTCGTCAAGGTGAATGGTTTTGTTTTATAAAGTAAATGATGTCAAAGCAGTAAAATACATCCCCTCATGAAAAAGCACTATAGGATCCTATAAGATCCTATACGATTCTATAGCAAATTGGCCCAATTTCCTATGGGATCCTATAGGATCTTATAGGATCCTATAAGACTTTTTCGTTAAGGTCGATAAAAAGAAATAAAGTAAAGTTAATTTGTAATTATGAAAATAGCACAATCAGCACATGATATGGACACTTAAGTAATAAACCAGCTTTATATAACAAAATGGCTTACGCTAAAATCAATAAGACAGCAAAGATTATACGTGAAAAAAATTCAAAATATTTGATGTTGGACAGAAAATTTATTCATTGTCTTAAAAGTTCCCAGTGCATCAATGTAGGTTTTAAGACCATAGTTTTTTATGAGCATCGTAAAATACCTAAGTCATGTTGATTTATAGGGGTTTATAGGAATCTGGCACATGCTTTATGATTTTTGGACGATTTTTTTTTTTTTTTTTGCAATGTGCAATTACAGCTTAGCGTGCTGAACTCCATTGACGTCAATATTCAGTTGATAACGCTTACTTCCCTTGTTAACTGTAGTGATTAAAATGGGCAGGAAATGACTGGGAAAGACTAGGAATTATCATTTGTTTCATTTTTTGGCTCCAGAATGGAACGTTGTCCTTATAGGAATTTCGTGAAAGGAGTGTTTTAATTTTAAAGTGTCGAAAACGCCGTAAAGTCCGTATAACGCAGTGGTTTCTAACAATAATTATAGTGAATATTGGTCATTATAATTATAACAATAATTATAATGACCAATATTCACTAGGGACTTTAGGGTGTGTTCTTCTCAGGGAAATCATAGGGCAGATCGGGAATCTCTCTCCATTACGTATCATAGTCCTGTTTTGTCGTTATAATGAAAAATGAAAACAAGGTAATAATAATTGCACGGTCATGGTTTCATTTTTCAGTACTTTTTGAAGGCGAAGAGGATCAGCATGGATACTTGATTCCAAAAGTGGACGACCAGGTACTGGTAAAAGTACTTTAACATTTTCGTCAATAATCATTGGTCAAAAAATGTTAATTTAGCAGTATGAAATACTGGTTCTAATTAACAATTAAAAAAATTCGATAAATTCAGTAAATATTAAAGATGCATACAAAGTCAATTTTTTGTCACAAAAACCAACCAAATGCCAGCATATAGTTTCAAGTAGTATAACTAAGAGAATTGCCAAAAGGCATTGTTTAACTTTACCCGAAAATGATGTTTGAACAGAAATTTCTGCCAGCATTCTATGCTGTATGTCAATGGGGTAGAAAATTAGGTCACGAAATTAGGTTAAATTTCCAACCAAAAATTTTAAGAAAGGAGCAGTCTAAAGCTCTTTTATGACTGATCGAGTGATCTATTCAGTTTATCCCTTGGCATGTCGAATTTATTTGAGTCGTATAAGAAAGTAGTAAAAGTGGTTTACATGTGTTACTGGGAATCCACGCTCCACCGATGCTCGGTTCGTATGTACCTTTAAACGTATGTATTCATTAATTTTTTCGTGTGCTTATTTATATACTTTGAATAATTTTAGAATGAATCTAATGATTCTGAAGATGGTCAGGGAAACCCCACCAAGAAAAAGCAAAAAGCCCCTAACCTGAAGAAAGCCTTAGGTACTGTTCGAGGTTTTGGAAAATCGGTTATTGCCACCCTCCATCAACACTACGCTGTCTTTGGCGGCCATCAGCACCACTCTGGCAGTGGCGCCTTGAAGACGATACCCGCGGAACCACCCCAGCGACCACCAAAACCAGCTAGACTTAGGGAAAGGGTGCCCAACGCTGTGCCGTGTCTGCCTTACCCAGAGGGAAATGGATTATCGGGCGAGCATTTGGATGACGAAACACCGCCTCCGATTATACCGAGAACGCCAAAAACACCGACAGCTGCTAGTCCCAAAACCCACCAATTTTCTCCAACGTCAAAAGAGTTCTGGTTTCCGTCGGGGCGTCAGAATCAGGAACAAAATCTTCACCAGAATTCTAAAACGAAAGGCGATGCAGATGGCTTAGATTATGAACTACTTGATGAAAACGTAATGACTGAATTAAGAGCGAAATCAAAGGCAAACGTAATGACTGAATCAAAACCAGTGGTTTTTAGTGCTCCTCCATCCCGTTCGAAAAGCGAAAAACCTAGACCAGCGTTGAAGCCAAAACCTAAGCCTAAACCAAATAGGCAACTTTCAGACAATTCTCTATTAGGTGACAAAAGAGAAGACATAAGCACCACAACCTCCAGAGAATCAAAAGTCGTTCCAACTGCCACAATATCGCCTTCTCAGCATATAGCACGTGCTGAGGCCATGACCACAACAGCAAGCGTAAAACCGACAGTATTGGCTGCGATCCTACAAACGCGTTACCAGAATGAAGAACATGAAAATACACCATCACAGATGGCAGAACACATTCAACAGCACAGGCAACAAGAGCATCATCAGAGCCTGGTCCACGAACTGTCACAAACACTTGTTTCTAGTGTCAAGTTGAAACAAGAATTAGATTCGCAAGTACAGCTACGACAGCGTGAAGAACCACACCAATCACAATCTCCCTCCTTTGACGAGCTGAGGAAATCGCTGCCCTATCCCAATAAAGTGACATCAGACGACTCTGCTCCATCAATCAAAGAGTATGGTGATGTCCCCAGCGACCTCTCGATGCTAACTGTGGACGGATTGGAAGCTGTCCTGCAGGTTTATGGCCTCCACAACGCGGCCAAGATATGCAAGGTGAACGAGGTGGATGGTGCGCTCTTCATGCTACTCACAGACAATATTTTGAAAGAGGATCCTTTCAACCTTAAGCCTTTCGATATTCTGAAAATTCAGAATATTAAAAGAGGCTGGAAACCAAAACAATCAGCACCATCAGCGAAATCATTCAGATCTTAAGACAGGCACGTTTGGCTTTTTTTTTTGACTCCTCGGACATTTTTTAAGCAAGAGAGCTCAATCATAAAGATCAGACAGAACTATAACTAAGCATGAGGCAAAACTTTGTGTGCTAGGCCTATAATGTTGTTATTTTTGTTGAAATATTTTTGAAATTTTGCAAGGATTTCGAACTTAGTTCGTTTCTAGTCTGTGATGGAGAGGGGGGGATGCTTATGTATCTTGCTATCGAAACAAATGGGTCACAACTGTCTGTCATGAATGGTGGTAAATATCGATCGTGATTTCTTAAAAATTATCGTTACATCAATTTTGAAATCGAGTCTTTTGTATCGAGCAATTTACCCTAGAAACATATCCTAGAAAACTATGGTTTTTGCTATTATTTGCCATAATACTGCATTATTTTTGCATAATATGTGTTACATCATTAACGGTGGCTTTTAGTGATTTTAATTATTAAAATAACTTGATAATCACATGGACTCAGAGGCGTGGAAGTTTTTGAAATTATCCCTTCATATGTTCAAGAAAGTAACATTTCACTTATAAATGATCATGTATTGGATATATCAGAGAAAAGACTGGGGAAGGCCACAGGGCCTTTTAAAATAGAAAGAACTGGACGTTCTATCGTATCGAAGACTTGCAGTAAGAAATGAACCCAAGGGTGTTTAAATGCTATTCCGTCGAAAAAAAAAATTAAATTTCTCTAAATAAATCTCTAAATAAATCTCTAAATAAATAAATAAATAGACCTAAATAAATTATGAAATACATAAATAGCATACGCTTACCATGTTAAATTTTTTTAAAATTAAAACGGGCTTAAGGGCACTATTTTGATTGCATACCGTCTTTGCAATTTTGTAGTAGGCCTACGTAAAAAAGAATAATATTATACGAACGTTTTTACGGGTGTTATTAATCTTTTCTGTCCCATAGTCGGCTCTCCATTTCTCTGTACGGGCGATACCCGTCCCAATACCCCGACCAACCCTAACCAACTAATCATACGGGACCCCGGACTTCGTTCCGTTCCTAGGACTATAGCCATTCCTGCCACACCGGCTGTCTGCACTGTGCAGTAAGGTCTACTGCTTTTAATATTTAAGGTTTATTTCACATAGTAGAAAACAGGCTCGTGCATAATAAACATCTATATCTTAGTCATGCAATACTTGTAGTCTTATGCTAGCTTACGATCAGTGCTGTGAGCAGTTGATTAAGCATTAAGACCGCACCTATTATGACTATGAAATACTTGCCATGTATGTGTAGGCCTAATAACGGTGCATATCTACATATGTAATTTTGGTGCTACTTATCTATGTATTTTTAAAAAAATATTATTGCTATTTACTCTATATGTCTTTTTTTTATATTATTGCTATTACTCTCTCCAGGGGCGGATTTAGGCCGTCTTCTGGGTCTTCCAGAAGACGGTCAGATTTTCAAGTTTACATTGATGGGTATCTAATTTTTTCTGTCGGAAGACGGTCAGAAAATGGAGGATGGATCAACAAAGATAATTTGGAAGACTGTCAGAAAATAACTCTGGATCCGTCCCTGCTCTCTCTGTACGTTTCACCAGCTGTCTGGTGTAGAAGGTATGAATAAAACATATACATTACTTTTAAAAGGCGTGAAAAGGTGATTTTAAGGACAGTACAGAAAACACTGACCATCAGTGTTTGTTACCAGATAAGTTCTTTGCCACTTACAGCACCAGGAAGGCCACACTATAATATTTACACACGCCTGCTCTATAAACCCAGTACGCATGCTTTTCTACTGACCCAGTTCTCATTCAGAAAGTGCATGTGCGTCATTGCCAGCTTGCAACCCGGCCTGTGACGCTCGTATTTATTCTTCTCGTTCAATATTCGGACCTTATTATACACATGACAATCGGGAACACAATACATTCTTAATCTCGGCCAGAAAGTCTCGTAGCTGGAATCTGGGTCAGTGGCTATCACCCCCAGTGATTGGAAGAGTTCATTTCGGTCCAGTGTGTAGTGTAGCATGGATATATGCCCGGGGAAGGGGCTTGAAAACCAGCCCTATCTCCCTCCTGATCAACCCATCCCTGACTCGGCTCTTGCTCGACGTGGTGCAATATCTTTTTGTTCCAGCAACAGCTACTATACTCAGCCACGGTTTGAGGTAAGTGTCAAATACGACAGGAGATCCAGTGCTCGTGGCCACACTGTTTGCTGTTGTGAATACATTGTTGTAGACATAATAAAGGCTTCACCTACCTGGACATTGACTAATTTATATATAATGATACACGAACTTTTAAGAACATGTATCCAGATAATTATTAATTACATTTCCATATATAATTTTTTATTAAAAACTTTTTTTGTAGAAGACATTAGGCAGTTATAAATCCTGGAAATTGACCACATACTATTATAATACAGCTGCAGATAGATAGAAAGTGGAGTACGGTAATTACTCGCACTCTTCAAACACCTTGCTTACTGATATATCTTTATAGTTCTTATTAATTACTTGTCTCAAAAAAACAAATGTTGGGACATTAACCAATACTTGCTGTGTAGAAATTTTACAGATTAAAGTAACAAGTAGCATTCATTTTGGAAATGTAATTTAATTAAATCAATCTTGATCAAAATTTATTTGTAAGAAGGGTAATTTCCCATCAAAATCATGATGCACACAAGGATACATACTCACACTGCTGATGGTAGTCATTAATTTATATTTTATAACTAGCGTGGTCTGCATTTTGGATCCTGCCCTTTTTATGCTATAAAACATAATTTAATATTTCCTTCTTTGCACTTTTGATAAATTCACATTTTTTGTTTGTTTTGATGCAATTGATTGGTTTTCACGTAAGGACAGGTTCTTTGAAGATTTAATAATGCTCATAACCCATAATATTCCTTTTTGAATTATAATGTCAGATTTCAATTTTATTTAGATCACACCTTTGCTGAGCAGGGAAATAAAAAGTGCTATTTCATATCCAAGATATCTTATGATGACACTACTCTCAGTTATTGACAATCTTTTATCTGCAAATCAAACCTTTAAATTTTTTTCGTAGTTAAGTGATATTTGGGTATTATGAGAATTACCAAAAAATTAAATTATTTTAAATAAATATTTTTTGAAGGATTCAGGCCAGTTTCAAATGTAAATCAAAGCAAACAGCATGGCTTTGTAGCTATTTGGAACTGGTGAGGTGACTTTTTACTTTAGTGATAACAGATATAGGACTCATGGCATTTAAATTTTAAGTAATAACATTACTGGTATGCTTTTTATGTTTTTTTTTTTTTTTGAACCAAAAAGTTTTAAAAATTGGCAGAGATCAGTTCGAAACTTGGCAGAAATAAGTTTGAATACCAATGGGCAAGAATTGTATTGAACTGCTTATAATTGCCATTAATAAGTTATGCTTTGATTGCCTTGCTACAAGTACCTCTATGGCGTTGTTTATGTTAGACTTATCTTCTGCCTGCTTACGTATGTAACCATTGTGAAACAAATAAACGAACAATGCACTTTCTTGTTACATTAGACCAGTTATTGATCATATATAGAAGATGATATGTGTAATGTAGCAACCCAAAGTGATAGATTAATCAAAATGATAATTGGATCATTGACTATTGAATTATAAATGTTTTATTGTTGGGACAGTTTTGAAATAAGATGCCATCATAGAAGCCATTATTATCCCATTGAATTCATGATAAAACCCATGTCCTAATCATTGTCCAGTACAGTTTGCCATTTTTGGTATAACACAGCTTGCAAACATTGGTATATTTGAACCTGTTGCAGATATTGTAGGGACTTTCCTCTGGTATGCATTTCCATCTGTTGTGGGATGACTGAGTTTGCTGATGTTACTGTCTTCATACAGGACAATCTGTATCATTTAAGCACCCCAAATAAAACCTGAGGATTGCTTCTCTGCATTCATTATTGGTCAATATATATTTGACTTTTTGAGAACAGATTTCCACTGAAATCTCTGTCCCATGTGTGATGTGCTTTGAGTGTAATTTTGTTAAATGTATTTCATGCATTAAGGATCTTGACTTTCTATGCTGACATCTCATCTTTACCTGGTATTTGAAATTTGATTAATAGAGAGTTAATTACAGTGCCATTTCTGCTTTTTTTGTGGCAGATAGCAATAAGTTCTCCATCATATCTGTGCAGGCAGACAGAGGCTTTACCTAGGTAGGCTCCCTGGTAACCTTAGGAAGCCCTGTACTTTATATAATCACTAAAACAATGTTTAATGTAACAAAAAGAAGTACTTGTTTTTATGACAGAATCTTCATCTTGAAGCAAAAGTTTGTAAAAACATCAGAAAGGATTGCTCAAACAGTTGCATTTCCCAAATATTTAGTTCCATGGAGGCCTGACTGGACCATACAGAATTGTGAGCATTGGTGGGCTTTTGCTGCTGTCCTCAGGCTTTCTCTCCTTTTACATAGTTTTACATATTTTTTCTCACACCGATATCTTACAGCATCTACAGCAGAAAATGTGAGGGATTGCTCACTGTGGCTATCAGAATTTCACAGATTGAAAAAAGAAGCTATTTTTGCTCCTCTGTCTCTCTTGTCTCAATAATAGATAATCTTTTTGACATGTATGACATAAATAGCCAATCAAGCATTAATAGCTATTTGTATTGCTTATTAATATGAAAGTAATTCATGTTCTTGTCTCAGTAATCTTCCGAACATACAGAAAGTGTCAAAGCAGACAGTGGTTGGAACTTCCATTACAGTATGCTTGCTGTTCACTATGATGCTATCACAATACAGAATCAAGTTTTGCAGGGTTTAATTTGGAGATCCTAGTACTTAAATCATGGACTGATTTTCCAAGCACAATTCTCCATCAGTTTGTCTCCCATGCCTGAACCAAACTCCTTTTTAAAACTGTAATTTGTTTTGGTTGAGATTAATAGGATGGGGTTGTTGAAAATTCAGTACTTGCTTCAGTTTCTCAACAAGTTGAATTTTTCCCGAGAAAAAGCAATTTTTTCCTTGTCATGAATCATTGCAATTGGATTAGATGTATATACCATTTTGATTCAACCAAATAACTCTAAATTATTGACCACCTTCCATTCACTAAATATTATAAATCTAATGCACCAAATCATAGTGGCCTCAATTTCACTTCATTCCTTTTGAAACTTTTGTTTATGACATATGAGCCCCCAATAACAATGTTTCATCAAACAAAAGCATTATTTTGCCTCTTTACTAATGAAATCAGAAATAAGCCTTGAAAAAAGAATGAAACTGGCAACAAATTGTAGTACTAATAGGTGTTAAAACGGTATTAATAGCTGATCAGGAGAGGGAGGTCTGTTTGAATTCGAAAACACAATTTTTAACACCAAAACACTGCTGTATCAGTTTAAATTTACAAATATCCCCAATACATTTTTTGATTTGACAGTATTATCTCACAACATGACAAAGTTTATTTCTGCAAGCCGATAAGGGAATAGATCCAAATGTATCTTTCTATCTATCTATCTATCTATCTATCTAAGTTAATGGCGCATTGCTTTCATTTTGAATGAGTTTTGAGGTCATCAGTAGACTTTTAGCCCCTTATTATTCAGTGAGGTTTAATAGTGTTATCGAAATGATAAATCTTGTTGGATTTTCTTCTTTTGAAACTTATTTTTGAAACAAGAATTTCATTACTAGTACGTGTTTCACAGAGAATTTACATTACATTATGGTTTTTGTGTGCATTACAGCATTGGATCAGAAGGTTGCATGGATATCTCAATTTTGTGGTTGCAGGGGTGTTAAATTTGTTCCTCTGTTATGTGTAATCTGGTCAAAGATTGGACTTACTGTGGTAAGAAAATGTGGTAAAATTGAACACTTGGATGCTTTGTACGCTTTGCTGCTCTTGCTATTGATAAAACTTGACCATTGAATACAGTCATACCATGGCTCACTGCCACATCACAGTTCACAGGTTTTAAAACAATAAAGTAGTAATAAGGTAATCAAATGATTTGATAGAAGCTGAATGCATCTATTGACAGGTTAAAAAGTTAATGGAAAACATATTGACTTGCCTTGGAGTTATAGCCAACAGAATAATTCACAAAGCCATCAATCATTGATGTCTTCATTTTGAATTGCCATGATGTGGCCTTTGTTCGAATCACAGGGAAGGGTGTTGGTATATAACACATATTGTTATCTAGCTCTCCAGTTCTCTACAATTTCTGTTCACTGTTTTGAAAAATTTTCTATTGTTATGTATCATTATGAATTTGGTTCCAAACAGTAACCAGGTTTATTGTTTGGAAAATATTACTAAGTCAAACACTGAATTTTAGTTGTTAATGAAGATTTCAAGTTACAGTGGTAACATCAAAAATATCTTTATAATTAGAGAAATGTTCATTATATAAAAATGGTCAGTTTGCATGAAGACAGAAGAAAAGAGATGGGAGCTTCTGAATCATTAGTTACAAAAAAGCTGATCCAGTTTTTTTAGAGGCAGTAAAGATATATGGTTGTGTGGGTGTGCATATGCGCATAAAATATATAAAAAGTGAGTTTGCAATAAAATGAAATAAAAAATTAAAAAAAAACAAAAAAAACATTGAGGTTTTCTTGGCCCCTTGACTGATTCTACTAATGCTACTGCAATGAATTGCCTAGTGCTGATGATTTATTGATTTCTATTCAACCTCTGCTAATATTGAATTATATGGATGAATCTCCCCGTGAGATTCTATCATTTCAAGGTAAAACATTGCTAGAATTCTGCCAATTTAATGGTGTACAGTTTTTTGTGTGTTTTATTATTGAAACTTTATTTTGAAATCAGAAATTAATCAGTTGTATGCTCAGAAACAATTTGACTTTTGAATTTAGTTTTTTTTATTGACATCCCCACCTTTTTCTTGTTGGCATCCCCACTCTACCCTTTGAATTTGTTGCATTATGTTGATAATGCAATATAGATAATGCAGAACATTTGTTATAAAAGAATATTAAAAATATGTTGTACATAAAGACACTATAGATTTCTCAATTTGTCACATTAAAAAAAAATTTGATGAACCACTTAGGCACGAGGCAGTATATGTCGAGAAATTAAATTTTAAGGGCACATTC